TTTAGAAACACCTTCAAATATTAAAGGAAGGAAAAAAAGCAAAAACAAAAACTCAGTGAGTAAAGGGGGACATTGTCTCAGGCATAGAGACCGAGCCCTGTTTCTTCCTCGGGTTCAGGAGCAACAAATGCCTATGAATATTTGAGTTCTGGTAAATTTTTTTTTTTTTTTGGGGGGGGGTCCGGTCGTGGGGCCTGAACTTAGGGCCTGGGCGCTGTCCATCAGCTCTTCAGTTCAAGGCTAGCGCTCTACCACTTGAGCCACAGTGCCACTTCTGGCTTTTTTCTTTTTGCTTATGTGGTGCTGAGGAATGGAACCCAGGGCCTCATGCATGCAAGTGCTCTCCACTGAGCCACCTTCCCAGCCCTCTGGTAAATTTTTGCTGCTGGTATCAAGACTGCTAATCTAGGACTTTATTCTCATAAAGAGTCAGTATTTTATGAATTTATCTCTAGGTTTTCAGGGTGGTTTGGCTTGAGGCAGCAGTATGAAAACCAGAGCCCCACATTCTTTTAGAAGACATCATTTGTTTACAGTGAAACCAATCCTTTCTAAGGCTCAAACGCTGTTTAAAAAAAAGTTCTTGACAAAGGCAGTTTCATTTTGGTATATACAACCTAAAACCATCCACACCATTAACTCCGTTGTATTCCTCTTTCACCCAAACCACAAGATCTCTTGTCAATCGGAAAGGTTTAGTAATGCTAAGGTATTCCTTTTTTGACATGAACTTAAGCATGAATTCACCTCCCTCCTTAAACAAGCACATATACTTGGTCATTTTAGTATAACTGTAACAGTACAAATAAGGAGGTTGTACAGTCAAGTTACAAAGAGGGCATCAGAAATTGATTTCACTAGCTTTCCCAATTTATAGATTACTTTTAGGAAAGTTTGAGAAGGTATATGCACTGGTCTGAGTGCCCAGAAATGGGACGAATACCTCAAAAAGCAGCATATTGTACATTATAGGTGGGATATTCAAGATAGACTACTCCTTGACATGGAGGTCACATGCCAACCATGAGGGTGGCCTACATCAAATTGAAGGTCTTTTCTCATCTGTGAACTGAAATGCAAATGAGCTCAGTGGGATATGAAGATTTCACAGACCTTATCAGGATAGAGCATACTGAACATTGAGATGACCAAGATATTAATTAAAATACCCTGACAAAGTGACCAGTGTTTCTTAAGATATCTAGTGATTGTGCCTTTGTCGCAGATGCCCAAGGGAGAACTCAAATTTCAAAGTTAAAACGAAATTTCATTAAAACAATCAAAAGATAGGAAGGGCCGGGCGCTCAAGTCTGTAATCCTACTCAGGAGGCTGAGATCTGAGGATCGCAGTTCAAAGCTAACCTGGCAGGAAAGTCTGTGAAAATCTCTTATCTCCAATTAACCACCAGAAAACCAGAAGTGGCACTGTGGCTCAAGTGGTAGAGCGCTCGCCTTGAGCTCAGGGACAAGGCCCAGGACCAGAGTTCAAGCCCTAGGACCAACAACAACAACAAAAAGATAGGAAGGCCTCCTGATGGTATGTCCTTGTAGCTCCCATACTTGGGAGGCTAGGGCAGGAGGATTTCAAGTTTGAGGCCAGCCTGGTCTACATAGTGAGACCTTGTTATAGAAAGAAACATCAAAAATCTCTCATCTTTCCAACCTCTTGTCCCAATGTTTATCACTAGTGTAGCTGAACAAAACTTTCTCTCCAACTTGTTTGCCTTTGAATAGTAAATCTGTCATAGTTTCCCTGCAACAGCGGAATGGTATTATTTCTTAAATCTCCTGAAACAAACACATGCTGTTTGTTTTCTGAAGTCCTCTGTGTACCAAGCCATGCTTACCTACTGTGGGGTTTAACAGAGAGCTTCCCTGCACATTCTACATTCATTGATCGTTGCCTCCTTTCTGTAGATGAAGCCTCTAACGCTAACTGGGCTAGCTTTGTTTAATGAACCACCATGCCTTCTGCTCTGGGCGAACCCTTTCTCCGCAGGCTTAAAATTCCCTGATCATCAATGGTAACAACATAATTTTTAGGGGGAAAATTAAGTGTGTGTTGCATAAAGTACTGAGGTAGTCATTTGGAGATGTGGGTTCTAATATCTACTTCCTCTATGATTTTAATGCCTGTAGGAAAGTGATTTTATTAGTTGTCCCATATAAAAAGACTAAAAAGATAAGCTGTAATTTCTAAGGTCTTCCAAGATAGTAAAGCAAGTAAATACCATTTTCCAACACTAATTCCTCAAAACCAGAGCTCAAAGTTACTGTGAAGTGGCTTCTGTTTTCAGATCAGACTTGTTCCAGTTAACTAATTCACTGCAAGGTTGGGAAGGGCCTGTAGGTACAGCACTTTGAGCCTTACAATCTGAGTCATGGGTTGCCTGATAAACAACAAACTTTCCTTCTGACCCTGTCCATACTAACACCACATTACAAGGGAATAGTTTTCACAGTGGCTCACTTGTTTTAAGTAAAAGCTATCTATTTTTCTAATAGGTTAAGGTCCAAAAGGATGTAACTTTTAAGAATCCACAATTAGTGATAAGGCTAAAACCATAATCCAAACTAGGTGTTTCTCCCCCACCCCTCATGGCACTGGGGTTTAAACTCAGTGTGCTTCCTCAGCTGGTGCTCTACCACCTGAGCCACTCTTCCCACCTGGCTTTTTGCTATTTTGGAGATGGAGTCTTTTCTACTGAGGCTGGCTTGGGTCCATGGTCCTTTGGATCTTAGCCTTTGAGTGGTTAGGATTATTAAGTATAAGCACCAGCCCTTGGCTTTCCTCCTCCACCTCCCAATGCTGGGTATCTAACCCAGATCATTGTACAGGCAAATAAGCACTCCACCTCTGAGCTACATGTCTAGTCCCCACACAGTGCTCTTTATACTTATTCCTAGAAAAATCAGTCTGATAGCAAATGCCTATTTAGACCTCATAATCTAAAAGGTGCTAATTAAAAGGGGGGAAATTTCAGAGCTACTGTAGTATATTTGCTCCGTGGGAAGAATTGTGCTAATCTATAAAAAAAAAAAAAAAAAAAAACTGTCAGAATGATTGCATAGCTCCTAAAGTCTTATCACCCTCAGCAGCTCCATCTAGTTCTATTAGTTTAGAACAAGTATCTGAAAAGAGTAGCAATTAAGGCAAGGAAGTTCATTAATTGCTAGCACATACAAAGGAAGATCACTGTTCTGGAGCATCACCGTGATGTGACAACACTGGTGCTGTGGGCCAGCTAACCTCTGTAGTTTTGTGGGTTTTGTTTTTTTTTTTTGCCAGTCCTGGGGCTTGAACTCAAGAGTGTGGGCACTGTCCCTGAGCTTTTGTGCTCAAGGCTAGTGCTATACCTCTTGAACTACTTGTGGCTTTCTTTTGTGTTTAGCTGGAGATAAGAGTCTCACAGACTTTCCTGCCCAGGCTGGTTTCAAACCATGATACTCAGATCTCAGCCTCCTGAATAGCTAGGATTACAGGTGTGAGCCACCAGCACCTAGCTTGCAGTTACTTAAAAAAATTTTTTACTTTTATTTTTAATTTTTTAGGTCCGGTCATGAGGCCTGAACTCTGGGCCTGGACACTGTCCCTCAGCTCTTCAGCTCAAGGCTAGCTCTCTACCACCTAAGCCACAGCGCCACTTCCAGCTTTTTTTATTTCCTGCTTATGTGGTGTTGAGGAATCAAACCCAGGGCCTCATGCATGCAAGGCAAACGCTCTACCACTGAGCCACCTTCCCAGCCCCTTTATTTTTACTCTCAAGTAGGATAGGCTTTAAAGTAGAAGTGTTCACTGTAATCTGAATCTGTAATCTGTGGGAGTAAAACAAGAAATCCTGGGGTCAGCTGGGTGACAGTGGTTCACACCTGTAATCTTTGCTACTAAGGAGTCTGAGATAGGGGCTGGGAAGGTGGCTCAGTGGTAGAGCACTTGCCTTGCATGCTCGAGGCCCTGGGTTCTATTCCTCAGCACCACATAAGAAAAAAGCCGGAAGTGGCGCTGTGGTTCAAGTGGTAGAGTGCTAGCCTTGAGCTGAGGGACAGCGCCCAGGCCCAGAGTTCAGGCCCCACGACCGGACCCCCCCCCCCCCCAAAAAAAAGGAGTCTGAGATATTGCAATCTCAGCTCAAAGCCAGCCCAGGCAGGAAAGTCTGTGAGACTCTTATCTCCAATTAACCACCAGAAAACCAGACGTGAAGCTGTGGCTCAAAGTGGCAGAGCACTAGCTTTGGATGAAAAAACTTAAGAGATAGCACCCACACGAGTTCAACCCCCAGAACCAACTAAATAAACAATAGCCTGCTCATGCCTGAATAGCTAGGGCTATTCAGAAGGCTGAGATCTGAGGATCTTGGTGTGAAGCCAGCCTGGGCAGGAATATCCATGAGACTCTTATCTCCAATTAACCACTAGAAAACCAGAATTGGCACTGTGGCTCAAAGTGGTAGAGTGCTAGTCTTGAGCAAAAGACCTCGTTCAAGCCCACAAACAACAAAACAAATGAACAACAACAAAAACCCCTCACAACTAAAAGCAAAAAACCAATACCCAAACCAACCATATAAAGAAATCCCAGCATAAAATGCCATTCTCCCCACCCTCTGGAATTAGCTTCTGACAAAAAAAAAAAAAAAAAGTCACTAAAACTGCTTTAAATAACAGGGCTGAGTTAGATAGTCTAAATGAGCTAAAATGTGATTTTCAAATCAGGGTGGGGGGAGGTTGTAGTTGCACTGGTAACAATGCAGGAGTAAGACTTAAGAACCTGTAACAGAACCAAGAGAATTATCTCACACCCAGAACATAATATCCCTTCCTATTGCGTGAGAGAAGCTGAGGCAATCTGACTAGAGCATTTGCCTGTATCTTACTCGTTCTGTAATCCCCAAGTCTACCTACAAACGTGCCTGCGAGGTTCAGTAATCTTCCAATAATCACAGAACTAAAGCAAATCTTTATGGTAATACACTACTTTAAAAAACTGAACAGACACTCTGTGTACTAAAATTACTTTATTACAGTTGATTTTTTAAACATTTCCTTTGCTATGATACAAAGGATACTTACAAACAAAATATTACATATGACCTTGTTTTCGCTCTTATGTTCTGACAACTTGGTAACAGCTTTAAATGCACAATCTATACAATTAATACAGGTTATATATGAACTATAAGGTATGCTGAACCAGAAGAATACTGACAATATACTGTACAATAAGCCTTACCAGTTAGTGCTGTGGACCATTTCTATCAAAAGGAAAATGCACATCTGCACAGTCACCTTTACCAGCTGGTGCTGACAGTGAGGGACAGGCTTCTTCCCCAATGCAACCCTGATAAGCCTCCACTGTGGGTGTCTGTTTGGTCCAAAAATTGAGAGGACTGAATATAGTTAAAATTAGTAATCAGTAAAGTGGTAGAACATTATACTTTGGACATGATAACCTTCTACCAAGAAATCAGTCCCAGTTTTAAAGGACCACAATTCCTTTGTCCACTATGAAACCCCTACAGGCTCAAGGGCTTTAGATGAGAAGATGAAGGCTGCCAAAAAAGGAGGCAAGGAACCAAGCCAAAATCTAGGTCTTGCGAAAATTATCATTTTTCCCTTCACCAAAGGGAACTAGAAATGTACAAATTCATTGATGAACCTCAATGATATCATATCAGTTAGCTGATAACCCTCATTTTATCTGGACCCCTGACTTGTGGGAATAACTGAAATAAGACTGTGGATAATACATACCACTTTTAGAACAGAACATCTTGCTTAAAATATTCCCTTTAGCCACCAAAGCTGGTCCTGGGCTATGACAGATGTGCATTCATCTCTCAATGGTCTACCCAGAAATGATAAGGTTACAGCTTTTTTTTTTCCTTTTTTTTTTCTTTTTTCCTTTTTTTAAATAAAAAAAGCAATTGCCTGAAGCATTGTCTTTTTTTTTTTTTTAGGTAAATAGCAAAAATAAAAATAAAAACCAACCCTGGCATTTGCACAAATGATGCAAATGGAGTGATATGGCCTTTAAGGAAGAGGTTAGTAGAAAGAAAGGGAAGTGAAGAAAGCCCAGAGAAAAGGATGTACTAATTTCCTTCTTTAAAAAACAAAACAAAAAAACCCCACCTACTTGTGCAAAACAAAACAAAACCCATGCTGTTTGAGGAAAACAAAGGGGAATGAGTACATAAGACTAAAAATATAAATAATGCTCGGATGACTGGTAAAAGCAGAAACCAACCTGGGTTACAAAAAGGATTATACATTCAAGATGCTCTTAAACCCAGTGGGATAACTTATGTTAAAACTGTGTTAATAGTTAACTTTTAAAAATCTCAAGTTTGTTTTTAAATCTTCACAATACAAGCAAAGCTGTTTTAAAATATACACTATACATATTTCTCATATTCTCTCCAACCTCATTAATGCGCATTAGGCTTTTTTGTATACTAAAACAAGGGGGGGTTCTGAAAGCTAAATTGCTTACAGTAACCCATTCATTATTTAAATGTTTAAGTTTTAAGTGGGTTAAAAACTTTTATAGACTTAGATAAATAGGATTTAGCAACACAAGTGTTAATTTTAAAAACTCTAAAGCATTTACAAATAATCAGGTTGGAACAGTCTAGGGAAGTTATGTGCACTATATTTTAAAATGTTATTTACATCTGACCATTGTTTTAGTAAAAATTTCCCTAAAAATTAAAAATGGACAATTAATCTGTTCTAAGCTAGCAGAGGATCATAAAAGGTAAAATGAGAACAAAATTATTTTCTAGTAGAACCCCCACACATCCCTCTTCACTTGAGATTGTACTCTATGAAACCACTTGCAACTTCTAGTAGGCTCATTAATCAAGTGTCAAGATAATGTGGTAAAATACCTTGTTAGATAAATTACTGGCCTTAAGTAGACTTGTTCCCCCTCCCCCCATTTTGAAATGTTTTCCCACCTGTGTCTCTGGCTTGGCTTATTCTGGGACACATGTAATTAATTAGAGGGGCACTTTAAGTAGGCACAATTCCCATTTAACATGGAATAAAAGGCATACAATGTTAGGAAGAAGGGGTGGAAATTTCTTTGACAGGATGAAATGTAAGGAAGGACAACAGCACATTTGGAATGGGCACCAAAAGGCAGCTGACTGGCAATCTGCCAGGGGCAGCCAACATCTTGATAAATATACTTGTTTATGACACAAAAGGATTAGAGGTGTTCCAATACCCACTAGGTTTTTTGATATGTGCCAAATGGTCACAGAGACCAGCCAGAAACTGCAAACATTATGCAGCTGCAACCTTTTTTAATTACATAATTAACTCCATGACCATGTGCAATTTACAGTAACAATAATAATGTTCATGCCGAGGCAATGTACTTGAGGGCTAAGAAAAAGCAAAATGTGCCACTGAGAAACCTGTTCCCATGTAACTGGTCTTCATGCTTTCAAGTGGCTCTAATATACCTTGGTTACTAAGCCAAGCCATGCAAAAGCAAAGAGTACATACTTTTCATTAACATTGGTATTTCATTTCTAAACCACTGAGTTCAAAGTTGCCATAGAAACATATAACACAAGTACTGAAAGCATACAATAGAGGGTTCATGGATTTTTAAGAAATTCATTTCCCTCATCTATGTTCACCAGTCTTTAATACCTTGGCTACAAGGCTTATAAGGAAGGGAGGCTAAGTGGGGGTAATGTCTAAGGAAAATAAGTAATTCTGGAAATAGGAAAAAAGTTCTAGAAATGGGATCAATGTGCCAGCAATAAGCATAGTTCATTTCATTTGAAAATTCAGTTAAAGAGCCCATAAACAGTCCCAAACCATAATGTTATCACCTGCATAATTTACATACACATGAACACACTTTCACTTTATAGACAAAACACACTTCTGTAAACATGGCCACTGGGGAAGAGAGGTTCCCTACACCTCACTCATGACTGAGGACACGGTTGTCAATCATTATATTAAATAAAATTACTTAGCTTTAAAAAAGATTTCAAACCTGACCAATGATTAAGCTTTATTTCCCTCTGTTTAACAACACTTAAGCATTAATTCTAAAAATGTCACCTAGGATGGTTTCAAGGTTAGATGCTAGAACCACAACTGCCAATGACAGCAACTCCTCTCTAGCTGGCACAGACCTATATAAACTTTAGTACAAAATCAAAAAATACAGAAACTAGGTCAATTTGTTAGCTATATATTTACAGATAATTACACAATTTTTCACTCACAATTGATAAAAACTATGAGTGAAAGGAAACTGTGCAGGTTGAATTACCCGTACTTTGGGGGAATTCTTGGGCATCAAGGTACCCTTATTCATTCATTCATTCGTAAGTCTCACCTTCTCACTTCAAGGTAAACTACCTACAGATGTTAATATTAGTATGTCCAGTGGGTATCCTGCTGTTTGAGAGGATTAACCTTTTTCTCTATTTAACAAAAAACTTGAATACTTTAAAAAATAAAACAAACCAAACATTAAGGCAATCAAACACAAATAAACAAACACAAATATCTCTGAAACCTCAAAAAGCTTGGATTGCTGGGAAATGGTTAACAGTGGTGATGACGTAGTACATGGCTCCCCAGTTTTAATTCTCTGCCTTTATTTTCTTTAAAAGATATCTAGATTTGGGTGGGTGGGAAGTGCAAATTTAAGAAACCCACAAAAGGCAGATAAGGTGCATATTAATTTACATATTTCTTATGATCTAAAGACTGACATTAAGCCAGATGGGTTCTCCTCCCTTGTATGAGTGACATTTTGGAAATCTTAACATAAACAAGGAGGAAAAAATTAGCATAACTTTGAAGGGGGCTACCAGAATTCAGTAGAAAATATAAATGCGCAAAAAAAAGTTGTTTCATTTTCTTTTTGACAGTGCTTAATAGAAACTTTAGAAATTAATAATCATTTCCAATATAGGTCCACTGTAGTGATTTCAGCAAAGTGCAGACAATATAACCAGACACAGCAAAACAGACTTCAATCAGTAGTCCTTGTATACATGAGGCAAGTATGCTAAGTGTACAGCACACTTCATCCTTTAAGGGATCTGAGGATGGGAAATTTCCAGTTCATAACAATGAATAGTAAGTGAAGGCCTTTTAAAAGGCAACCCTACAATCTGGGTGGGGATATTATTATATTGGATGGGTAAAAGCAAAAGTAGAGAATTTGTCTTCAGTGATGATCTGTATTTTGGCAAGCAGCTCAAAGATGACATCCCAAGTTTTGACTCTGCTCCTTAGGGAAGGCTTTAAGAAATGAGAATCTCTTCTTCCATCATTATGGGAGATTCACACTTAAGACATCTTAAGTATACTATTTCTGATTTGAATAAACATTAGGTCATTTCACATTGAGTGCATGGGAAAAATGAATTGTATAAACCTCCAAGGAAAGAGTTGCTGTGTTGGGCCAAATTTCTGCTTGAATAAATATCACTGGGTCAGAAAGGGTGGAAGGTGCACAGAGAATTTACTGTTAGCAAGCAAGAAGAGGCAGTTAAAAGGAGAAAGCTCTCCAACCATATTCTTCTCTTCCAGTGATCATATCATGTTGATTTTACTGTTAAGGAAAACCTTAGATGTCTGAATAATAATTCCTCTCTTGGTTGTTTTGATCCTCAGCAAAATACATAATTATTAGTATTAATTAAGTAAAAAAGAATCAGAGGATCAATGGCATTACTAAAATGAAACACATACATAAAGTACATAAAAATTATGAGTCACTGCTTCTTTTTATACTTCTGCAGAGCAATCACCACTCGTGTTCTTACTTTTCATGGTTCATTTCTCTCTGCATCACTTATTTTTTGTTGCATCACAACACAAACTCCTAGAAGCACTAACTGGCTCCTTTCCAGCAAAATTTTACTATAATTTCTAGTTCCACATTTTACCTAACTTCCCACTAACAGAAGGGATGTGAAAAGGGATTAAGAAGGAAAAGACTATCTAATAATCACCTTCTCCTAAATATCAACCCAGAGCATTCGTTCTTCAAAAGCACATGCATTCTTGCCTTAACTGAGGACTGAAATAACAAAACCAAATAACAACAGGACGTTAAGTGCTCTGATGGAAATGTACAATTACGAGTTACACCCATCCATCTATACACACATACACTCATATGTATATACAATATATACATACAAATGATAATAGTTATACAAAAATGTGCATATTTAACAGTTATTAAAAGCCAGTAGATCATGGTATAATACAATTTATTTCCACTAGTGAGTGGCACAAATGGAAAAATGCAAAGGAGGTGTTTCAAGTACAACGAAGTTATTTTTCACAGGTGAGAATAAATTGTATTATTCCAGTGTCCAACACAATGTATTCTATAAACCTTAAAATTTCAATGATTTAGTATTTATAGAAGCAGACAGTCATTAATGTCTGCCTTATGGTCTGAAAAAAATAAAGAGTTTTCAATTTTTGAATAGTGAGGGAAAATTGGTGGAAGTGGGAGGGAGTGCCCAGTAGTTTCTTTAGTGTTTTGAATGGTAGTTACCTGATGTCCAGGCAGCTGAAAAATCATGACAATGCTAAAAAATTCAATTTACCAGTAAGTCTTTGACTTAAGAGTACTAAGCATACTAGATCTGCGGGTGTGGCTTCAAATGCAGGACTATTCATCTCTAGGTATAGAAATGATTAAAAAGAATGGCAGCTCTGAATAAAATAGACACGTTTTTTAGTTAACATTATCTATATAATGAATATGCATTTAGATAGTCTAATTCTGGGTCAAAGCTGACTTAAAAATGGGAGAAAAATATGTGCAAAGGGAAAGATAATATAAGGATTAAAATGTCTCAAGGTATGAGGTGCTGCATTTTTAAAATGCTAACCCCAAAAGGAGAGAAGGGCAAATACAAGGAACTTTGTAATGTAAGGCTCTGGATACCAGATATAGCATTTATAATTTTTGATATGCTATACAATTTTCCCATACTTACTTTTAACTTTCTTAAACACATAAGGAGCAAAAACCAACAACTGGGGAGGAGGTAGTATTAATTTGATCAAATGTTGACATTTCCACAGATTCAGAAAGTGCTACTCTTTCTTCAGGACATCTCAAAGCCTTTCAAATTTTCCTGCTACTAGTTTTATTTACTATGTGATGATTCCCACCACACATAAGATTCCTAAGAAGTTACACCTCACAAATACACACAAACCAATTAATTTGAATCATTTTGAAAATTACATATATTTTAATCAAATTAACTTAATGTTATAATCCAAGAATAGTCATGACCTACATGAAAAATTTCATTGCCACACAATTTAATTTGATACAAAGCCCTACTAGATAGACATTTTGAGTCAGTATTTTTGAAGTACATACCTTCCGCATGGGCTCAGTAACTCAATTCGACTAACTGAAACTCACAACTGGACTTTAAAATGTATCCCTTGGTAGCACTTCAGGTTTGAAAGAAATCTGAAAAGCATCTCTATTCTAACCCTCCAGCAACAGGCAGGGTCTATTAAGTATGCTTTTATAGGTATTACAACTCTATCCTATTTTTTGACATTTTATTAAATTCTAAATCTCTTAGCTTTTTCCAATTCTCAATTTGCTTGAAACACTGTATAATATTTTAATGCAAAAAAGATAGTGAAAAGACTAAAAGCCCTTTTCATTAGATATAACCAGCATTTTAGTCAAGCCTATCCTAAAAGCTGGTCTGGAGCATGGTTAAGAGGACAATACATGAGAGTGCTATTTAAAACTGCTAAAAATGTGTGTGAATTCCACTGTCATTTATGATTTTGGTTTTCAAAGGACATGTATTAAAACATTAGCTTTTTCTTCCAGTTACCTTCACATCAATCCAGAAACTTCTAAAGGGGAGAATTCATGGAAACAAAATAACATACCTGGGAAGATTTAAAATGTTGAGAAAACCAACATTTCAACAGATTTTAATTTCAGCAGATTGTAATTTGGTCACTAGTTTGCTCTAGGTGAAGAATACAATTGTGAGGGACTCAGAGAGTTCTACCTTAGAGCCCTCTGACTACATGAAAAGCAGGATCCAGAGTTAGCAGCAAGAGTTCTTCAAGACAACTAAGAAGGGAGCATGACAATAACCTCGATAAACTGTCATTGAAAAAGATACTTTTTTTTCTTCAAGTCATATTCACAGCTCCCCAACTACCTCCAACTCAACTTTCGCACAAGTAGTGGAATACCAAGTAACATCTGACTTTCAACATTGGGTTGATCCTTCATTGTAAAACAAAACAAAACATTCCCCACTCACAAAAAGAAATGTTAGCTTTTGTTAAGAGATACCCTGACCACTACAATTTACTTTTTTTTTTTTTTTGGTTTTTGTTTTTTGGATTTTTTTTTGTTTTTGTCTTTCATTTGCCAAACTCACTAGTTCCTTTTCAGTAGTATTTCGCGCACTGCAGCTTGAGACTTCTGGAAGTGGTGTTTCCCATTGTGTGATGTTAACACAATTCTAAATGGTCACTAAGTCTCAATGAACTAGAAGTTTGTAAAGTACTGCAGCAACAAAAACAGCAATCAAAAAACAGAGGACCTGCACATGCAGCAAAATTTACAGTGGTGACAAGGGTTAGTCAGCAGCTGGTAGTCATTGGCTCAGTGACTCCTGGTTCACTATGGCAACTAAACATTTAAATAAATGACTATTCTACTTGTAAACAGGAAATTTCATAAGCCAAAAGGGGATAATCAAATTATGTCTATGTAGTGTGATGAGTATTCCAATAGATAGATGGCAGTTGGCAAATATGGCATCACTCAAATACCACTGGCATTTGATTTGTATTGGCTATATGTCTTTGTATTTGTACAAAGTAAAAGTACTGTCTGGGGTTTGAGACTTAAAGATTTAGCTCAGGTGAGTTATCACAGTAAAATAACAAAATGTTAGTGTTTATGGGTTTCGTCATCTTACTCTGCTGCTGGAAATACCTAACACATGAACTTTCAGGGGTCCTCTTACCCTGCTGGTCTTCCCTTTTAAAGCTCTTATCACAGAGCTCGTGAACTCCTTAATCAATTTCATCTTACTGTGACACAAAGAAGGCACAACTGAATGGACAAAAATCATTGACAAAATTATGAAGCATTCGGAAAAAGAACTAAATTTCTACCATCTGAAAAGGTTGATACAATCCTTCAGTGTTTGTAGGTTTCTGTTTAACTCCAAATGGGGCTGAAAAGCCAGACCAATTTAATAAAGAAAATACACTGTGAGAAGGGTATAGGTATGTTCCAATAATAACTTGTCTCAGCATATGCTGCCTGCTGTTAGTGGTTTGTAAGAATTGGAATATGGAGGAAGGCTTTAGATCTTCTCATAGAATATGGACACCCTAAAGTCACTTTGCTATATTTTATTTTTGCAGTGTTAAGAAAATACCCTCTATCTAACCAATTTCTTTTAACCACATGCATGAAATATTTATCAAGTCCCCTTTTCAAAATTTCCTGCAAAGTTAAACACAAACAACCCTCCCCCCCCACAAAAACCCGGCAGCCAAATACTATGACATCCCAATTAGTAAACACAAAACAGAATGCTTTACAAAAATGAATAAAATATACCATATGCACTCAGCTTCCACACTGTAGTACCCAAGTGAGGAGGCTGCTGTGATGATGTCTGTAGGCAGTTTCTTTTGGCAGACAGCTCCAGCGGAATTCCCACTCTCTATTATGTGTAAGACATGTGTGACCCATTGGATATTTGTGAAGTGACACTTGTACTTCTGCTCATGCCCTGCTCCGTCCGTCCCCCAGAAGCTGTCCGCCTCAGAGCCTGGGGGCTATTGCGGACTCCCATACTGCTACCTCGAGGTACCCCTTGCATTGGCCCTGAGGGGTGACCCCATGGCTGGGGTCCACCTTGCATTGGATGGCCCCAAGCTTGTGGTGGGCCACCCATGGGATGACCCCAATGAGGTCCTGGACCCCCAGCAGGATTGTGAGACCAACCAGAAGCTCCTGGGTAGCTGTGGCTGAATGCCTCAGGGGAGAGATTAGAAAGGACCATATTACTAAAACCTAGTCTCATGCTTTCAGAGTCAAAAGCTTCAATTTCTCTGGCTTGACGTTCTAGCAGGCTTCGTATTCGTTCTGTGCGTTCATTCTGCAAAGCCAACATCTCTTCTTCAATCTGTTGTTGGTAGGGTTAGGAAAGCAAAAAAGGTCAGTGTCTTTTTTTAAATCTATAAAGTAAGGAAGCAGTAATTACTAAAAATAACTAGCCATATTATAGATGTACTGCAGGAAACATACATAATTTGTATTTCTTTTGTTTCTCTTTGCTGTAACAGGAATTTACACTCAGGGCCTTTTGCTTGCTTAGCCCTCTACCACTTGTTTTTCTTTTGTCGGTTGTGGGGCTTGAACTCTGGTGCTGCTCCTCATCTCTTCAGCTCAAGGATTGCATTCTACTATTTGAACCACAGCACCACTTCCAGTTTTTCCAGTTTATCCAGATAAGAGTCTCACGACTTTACTTCCTTGGGCTGGTTTCGAACCATGAGCCTCAGATCTCAGACTCCTTAGTAGCTAAGATTATAGGTGTGAGCCACCGGTGCCCAGCATGGTCCTGCTTTTTTTTTTTTGTCCCTCTTTTTTTTATTGTGAAAATACTGTACAGAGGGGTTACAATTACATGGGCAAGATAATGAGTACATTTCTTATCAAGCATTGTAGCCTCCTCCTTTGTTTCCCCTTCCCATCCTCCCCCTACCCCCATGGTCCTGCTTTTTGATGGCTATTTTATAGACAAGAGTCTCTGTGGCTTTTCTGTCTTACTTGGCTTTGAACCTCAATCTTCTGGATCTCAGCCTCCTGAGCAGTCAGTATTAAAGATGTAAACACCCAGCTTCATTTGCATTTGTAAAATGGATAGTATCTGGTTCTAAAAGCAATAATAATGTTTACTGAAATGATATATTAGAGAAATTATCATTTCCCTGATCCATCAGCAAAAAGCTGTTGGAAAAAAGAAAATAACAGGAGGGAAGCCAGTTTTATCAGCTATATCATAATGTTTCTCTAATAAAATAAAATTGAGCTTGGTGCTGTTGGCTCACACCTGTAACCCTAGCTACTCAGGAAGCTGACATCTGAGGATGTGGCTCAAAGCTAGCCAGGGAAGGAAAGTCCATGTGACTCTTATCTCCAATAAACTACGCAGAAAAAACTGCTGATAGAGCTCTAACCTTGAGCACAAATAAGATCAGAGTCAGTGCCCAGGCTGAGTTCAAGCCCCAAAACTGGCAAAATAATAATAATAATAATAAAACAAAATTGGTATAAAAAATACACAAATAGGTTACTAAAATGGAAGAATGAAAACTCTAGTTTCAAGGTCTTTAATGTAAGTGAGGGTTGAACTGTAGATGCTTGATAAGAAATGTACTCCACCAAGTACTTGTAACCCCTCTATACGGTATTTTCAAAAAAAAAAAAAAAACACCTCAGGATCAGGTCCTGAGTTCAAGCCCCAAGACCAGCACAAACAAAAACCCACATCAAGAACAAATTCAAATGTAAGATAAAAGAAATAGTAACTTCAATGGAGAAAAGATGCTTAATATGTACCTTTAAATTGGCTTCCAAAATACCTTAATAACCTCTACCTCTAGAAACAAAGTGTCATTGTATTTTTACCTATAGGCACTGGGTTTTTCAAAAGTATTTTACTAAGCTTTGTATGTAGCAAGTAGGCTTTGATTCATACAATGAAATAATATACCTCAGGGCTGGGAAGGTGGCTCAGTGGTAGAGTATTTGCCTTGCATGCCTGAGGCCCTGGGTTCGATTCCTCAGCACCACATAAGCAAAAAAAGGAAAAAGCCGGAAGTGGCGCTGTGGCTCAAGTGGTAGAGGGCTAGCCTTGAGCTGAAGAGCTGAGGGACAGCACCCAGGCCCAGAGTTCAGGACCAAAAAAAAAAAAAAAAAAGAAATAATATACCTCAGACACTAATGAGTGCTACGTTATTGTACCACTAGGTGGAGCAAAAATGGCATTCATACTTTAAACGCACTCACATTTCTCTTTTTCCTTTTCCTGAGTTACTTACTATAGCCAGTAGTCTTCTTTTTTTTTGGGGGGGGGGGGGGAGAGGGTCGGTCGTGGGGCTTGAACTCTGGGCCTGAGCACTGTCCCTGAGCTCTTCAACTCAAGGCGAGTGCTCTACCACTTGAGCCACAGTGCCACTTCCAGTTTTCTGGTGGTTAATTGAAGAGTTTCACGGATCTTCCTGCCAGGGCTGGCTATGAACTGTGATCCTCAGATCTCAGCCTCCTGAGTAGCTAGGATTACAGGCATGACCCACTGGTGCCTAACTTGCAGTCTTCCTTTTAATACTAATTTCTTTTCTTTGAACTCAGTGCCCAGGCACTGTCTCTGAGCCTCTGTGTTCAAAGCTAGTGCTCTACCACTTGAGCCACTGCACTACTTCCATAATATAAATCTGAAACATTAAGATACAGATTTTGATTTATTTATTTTGGTGCCAGTCCTGGGGCTTGAACTCAAGGCCTGGGCACTATCCATAGATTTTTTTTTTTTTTTTTTTGCTGGTCATGGGGCCTGAACTCTGGGCCTAGGCGCTGTCCCTCAGCTCTTCAGCTGAAGGCTAGTGCTCTACCACTTGAGCCACAGCACCACTTCCAGCTTTTTCTGCTTATGTGGTGCTGAGGAATTGAACCCAGGGCCTCATGCATGCAAGGCAAGCACTCTACCACTGAGCCACCTTCCCAGCCCTGTACATGGGCTTTTTTGCTCAAGACTAGCACTCTACCACTTAAGCCATAGTTCCATTCTAGCTCTTTCTTTTCTTGGTAATTAATTTGAGATAAGAGTCTCGCAAGCTTTCCTGACTGGGCTGGCTTTGAGCCTTGGTCCTCAGATATTAGACATGAGCCATCAGAGCTCAGCTAAGAGATACAATTTTTGACTGAATATCAAGTATGAAAGTTTAGATAAATTAAGTAAACCAACCCATACATGATACAAACAAAATTTTCAAGTTTTATATGGTTTTTACCTTCCCATATGTCTTTGATGATACTAGGGTTTATTTTATGTATGTATGTATGTATATATGTATGTGGGCCCGGTTGTGGGGCCTGAACTCTGGGCATGGGCGCTGTCCCTCAGCTTTTCAGCTCAAGGCTAGCATTCTACCACTCGAGCCACAGCGCCACTTCCAGCTTTTTTCTTTTTTTTTTTTCTCCCCCCCCCCCCCCAACCTCCCTACCCCAGCTTTTTTCTTATGTGGTACTGAGAACCCAGAGCCTCGTGCATGCAAGGCAAGTGCTCTACCACTGAGCTACCTTCCTAGCCCGATACTAGGGTTTAAAAAGGACCTTGAGTTCTTTAGGAAGGTGCTTTACCACTACAACTATAATGTAACCCTGTTTGCTTTATTTTTCAGGTAAGGTCTTGTAATTTTTTTGCCTGGGCTGGCATGGGTAGCTATGTCTAGCTTGTTAGTTGAGATGAAATCCTACTCTCCTCTCACCCAGGCTGAGCTTAAACTACAATCCTCTGATCTCTACTACTAAGTATGAGCAGATAAGAGTCATCATACCTCTTTTCAGTCTATCTATCTATCTATCTATCTATCTATCTATCTATCTATCTATCTATCTATCTATCTATTTATCTATTTATCTAGTTATGTAGTCAGTTGTGGTGCTTGAACTCTGGGCTTGGGCACTGTCGCTCAGCTCCTCAGCTCTAGGTGAGCGCTCTACCACTTGAGCCACAGTGCCACTTCCGGTTTTCTATGGTTTATTGAATATAAGAATCTCATGGACTTTCCTGCCCAGGCTGGCTTTCAACCGCGATCCTCAGATCTCAGCCTCCTGAGTAGCTAGGATTACAGGCGTAAGCCACTGACACCTGGCTAGTATTTTTTATTTTTAGAGACAGAATTTTGCTATATAGTACAGGCTGACTTGGAACTTTCTATATTAGCAAGTTGGCCTCAAACCCATGATCTTCCTGTATCTACCTCCTAAGTGCTGGAATTACAGGGTATCCATTACCACATTTGGCTCTGTCCTTCCCATCTTGAATGTGAAATATAATTAAGGCAAATATTTCTCAAAGAAGCCAGTAATAAAGATAACTGTACAGCAACATCTTCATATATAGAAACTCTTTTGTAGGTTGTGAGGCTTGAACTCAGCAGGGCCTGGGCACTGTCCCTGAGCCTCTTCATGCTCAAGGCTAGTGCTCTACCACTTGAGCCAAAGCGCCACTTCCAGTTTTTGAGTGGTTAATTGGAGATAATAGTCGCAGGGGTACTTTTCTGCTTGGGCTGGCATCCTCAGTTGCTAGGATTACAGGAATACGCCACCAGTGCCTGGTTCTAGAAGTAACATTTTCTTTGAGCATGCCAGTCACAGGGCTTGAACTCAGGGCCTGGCATTTATTCTTTGCTCAAGGCTAGAGCTCTACCGCTTGAGCTACAGCTCTACTACTGGAAGTTTTTTTTTGGGTCCGGTTGTGGGGCCTGAACTCTGGGCCTGGGTGCTGTCCCTCAGCTCTTCAGCTCAAGGCTAGCACTCCACCACTTGAGCCACAGTGCCACTTCCGGCTTTTTACTTTTTGCTTATGTGGTGCTGGGGAATCGAACCCAAGGCCTCAGGCATGCAAGGCAAGCGCTCTACCACTGAGCCACCTTCCCAGCCCTGGAAGTTTTTTTCTTGGGAGGGGGTAGTTAGCTGGAGATCAGAGTTTCATGGAATTTCTTGCCCAGGCTGGCTCCGAACCATGATCCTCAGATCTCAGCCTCCTGTGTGAGCCACTGGTGCCTAGCTTTGAAGCAACATTTTTTGTGTCTGACTTTTCATCTGTGTAAAACTGTTTTTACCTTCTGGTCACTCAGTAATCTTTTTTTTTTTTTTTTGGGTCTGGTCGTGGGGCCTGAACTCTGGGCCTGAGCACTGTCCCTCAGCTCTTCAGCTCAAGGCTAGCGCTCTACCACTTGAGCCACAGTGCCAATTCCGGCTTTTTTCTTTTTGCTTATGTGGTGCTGAGGAATTGAACCCAGGGCCTCATGCCTGCAAGGCAAGCGCTCTACCATTGAACCACCTTCCCAGCCCTCACTCAGTAATCTTATACCAACCAAGGAAAAATGAGTAGACCAAGGATGTATGAGTAAACTACCTGTTTCTGATGCTTGTCCCTGCCTCTCTCCTAGGCAAGTACTGAAATTTTTTTCCTTTACTTCTTGTCTTTATTCAACCAGAAACTAGACACGCAAAAATGAGGAACATGGAGCCATGGCTCTTACAATTCAAATAACTATCTTCATATGATCTCACATTTTATTAATTAATTTATTTTTGGTTGGTTGGTTGTGGTGCCTGAACTCTTGGCCTGGGTGCTGTCCCTCAGCTCTTCAGCTCAAGGCTAGTGCTCTACAACTTGAGCCACAGCACCACCCCTGGCTTTTTCTGCTTATGTGGTACTGAGGAATCAAACCCGGGGCCTCATGTATGCAAGGTCAAGCACTCTACCACTGACCCACCTTCCCAGCCCTCACATTCTTTTTATTTTGCCAGTCCTGGGGCTTGAACTCTGGGCCTTGAACTCTGGGCCTGGGTGCTGTCCCTGAGCTTTTGTGCTTAAAGCTACCACTCTACCACTTGAGCCACAGCTGCATTTCCAGTATTTTTGTGGTTAATTGGAATCTCACAGACTTTTCTGTGAGACTAGTCCAGGCTAGCTTTAAACTCAAGAGCTTTAAACTCAATGATTACAGACATGAGCAACTGGCTCCTCATATTCTTTTCTTTCTTTCTTTTTTTTTTTTAAATAAATACAGGGGCTGGGAAGGTGGCTTAGTGGTAGAGGACTTGCCTTGCATGCCTGAGACCCTGGGTTCGATTCCTCAGCACCACATAAGAAAAAAGAAAAGAGCTGGAAGTAGCGCTGTGGCTCAAGTGGTAGAGCTCTAGCCTTGAGCTGAAGAGCTGAGGGACAGTGCCTAGGCCCAGAGTTCAGGCCCCACAACTGGACCCTAAATAAATAAAGCTTTATTCACCTAGGCTGCACTAAACTAGAAGATGTAATATAGTGAAGAAATAACCATGATTTCTGTGTGAAAAAAAATTTAGTCATGTTTAATTGCTAACAACATTTTACCAGCTGCAGTATTCTGAAAAAATATGGAACGCTTCACGAATTTGTGTGTCATCCTTGTGCAGGGGCCATGCTAATATTCTCTGTATCGTTCCAATTTTAGTATATGCGCTGCCAAAATGAGCACAGCTCCTCATATTCTTTACCCAGCAATTAATTGTATGTTCTTGATTGTTAGTACTAGCACTAAAATCATAATTGAATCAATAATTTTAAAGAAAAGTTACCAAACTGGGACAAATGTACTTTTAAAAAATGTTTTTGATAAAAGCAAATATGAAAGCAATGATCTTCCTTCTATTATTTATACCTTTTGTTCTAAGAGTGCCCTCCGAAGGGAGACTCTCTGTTCAAGTTCTCGAAGCTCTCGGTCATGTTGTGCCTCAGCCTGCATTTTGATTTTGCTCTGATATGCATTCAACAGCTCCAGTTCCTGCTGTAGCTGCATCTTTAAAACCTGACACTCTGCTTCCTGTGCTTCATCCAAACGCAGCTGAGAGAAAAAGAAAACATATATCCTACTATGAGGTAACGATCATGACTATGGAAAGGAAGAGGAAAGACAGAATATTGACTACTGTCATAGGTCTTTTTGTAAGTAACAGTTGCTCTCTCTTGTAACTTGGTGTAATGGCCTCTAAGAAAAAGACACAATAACCAACAACAGAATTATGAAGTTATCATGAGTTGTCTGGAGAATGCTTAAATAACTACATTTTTCTTCAGAGAAACTTATACTCTAATTAGGTGATATAAAATTCTCATTCTCTTCCTCCTAAGTTGGAAATAATTATTATAGGGCAGAAACTAACAAATTTCAGTCTATAGGTCAAACCTGTGTAGCTGGTTTGTTTTGCTTTAATGCTTTGATCAGCCCACCAGTTAACAATGATGTGTTGCTGTTGTTGTTGTTGGGTTGTGGTATTGGGACTTGAACTCAGTCCTTTAGGCTTTTCACTTAATGTTAGTGCTCTATCACTTGAATGACAGCTCCATTTCTGGCTTTTTGGTGGTTAACTGGAGATTATAGTCTCACAGATTTTTCAGCCTGGGCTAATTTCAAACTGTGACCCTCAAATCTCAGATTCTTGAGTAGCTAGAACTATCGGCACAAACAAATGCCCATCTCAACAATGATTTTTACACTTAGAAATGATTACAGTCTAAATTGTTAGATAAGTAGCCACATAAAATCCTCAATTTTGTCTTCTGGTCTGCAAGGCCTAAAATAGTTATCTGCTCTATGGAGAAATTTTTTTTTTAACAAAATAACTCATATTTAATCACTGGCATACTCAATATAGCAATGTATGTTGCTGATTGTTCCATCTTGACAAAGTCTTGGGATCTCTATATAGAAAGGAAGTCTATATAGACCTTTATGTCTAAATGTACAAGTACAGTTTTATATACATTATGACATTCTCAAATGATGTTGAGAACAGAAGAGTGTTGGTAGCAACTACTATAACCCTAGATTCATGACAGCAATCATTTCCAACTAGTATTTTGGGAATCCATTCAGGTGGTAGAAGGGGCACTAAATTTGTTTTTCCTAAACAAAGGAAACTCACAGCTTGTGTAGAAAGCATTTCATTAATGCTATGATCATACTGCTCAGCCAAGATGGCTAACTTCCGGGTCTGTTCTTCCTTGAGCCTTTTCAGAACAGCTTTGTGCTCACTCTTTGGTGTAGTCTCCAGTAGGTGATTTCTTAATGCTTTGTACTGTCTGGTTTGGATTTTGCAGGTATCCTGAAACTGTTTTTTTATTTGGAGTTCTTTTGACTGGGAAGAAAAAAAAATTCTGTAAGTTTCAACACATACATTTGTATACCTTATATTTACATTCAAATAATACAAATAAGAAAAAGAGAGAAAACCCAAAAGGTTAGATGGTAAAGCTGAGGTATTCTTGCACTTGACCATTCAACTGGACCAAATTATCTGATTTTCTGTATTTTTATAATTAAAAACTACTTTGTATAGCTAGGCACCAGTGGCTCATACCTGTAATCCCAGTTACTTAGGAGGCTGAGACCTGAGGATTGAGGTTCAAAGCCAGCCCAGGCAGGAAAACCTGTGAGACTTTTTTTTTTTTGGCTGTGGGGCTTGAACTCTGGGCCCTCAGAGCGCTGTCCCTCAGCTCTTCAGCTCAAAGGCTAGCGCTCTACCACTGGAGCTACAGCGCCACTTCCGGTTTTCTGGTGGTTTACTGGAGATAAGAGTTTCACAGACTTTCTTGCCTGGGCTGGCTTTAAACCGTGATCCTCAGATCTCAGTCTCCTGAGTAGCTCCTGAGTAGCCACCGGCACCTGGCCCTGTGAGACTCTTATCTCCTATAAACCACCAGAAAACCCAAATGGTGCTGTGGCTCAAATGGTAGAGCACTAACCTTCAGCTGATAAGCTGAGGGACAATTCCCAAGCCTAGAGTTCAAGCCTCACGACCAACAAAGAAAAAAAATATTTACGCTGTTCTTAGCTAAAATACTTTACTCCAAAATAAACTATTTGACCTAAGTGTCCCGTACTTGCTAGATAAGAAATTTATCACTTTAGCCAAGTTCCTAGCTCTTTTTATTCTTTAGCTTATCAAACAGACTTGTTCTTTGTGGCTGGAACTGGCATTGGACCAACATCCTGCTACTTCTAACTTCCTGCCTAGCTGGGACTATAAGCTGTGCCACTACACTCAACATGGTTTGCTTCTTTTCCTTTCTTTTTTGGCACTGACGTTTGAACTCAAGATCTCATGCTTGGGCTAGGAATGTGGCCTAGTGGTAGTGCTTGCCTACCATGCATGAAGCCCTGGGTTCCGTTCCTCAATATTAAACAGAAAAAGCAAAAGCTGTACTGTGGCTCAGGTAGAATGCTAGCCTACAGCAAAAAAAGCTCAGGGACAGTTCCCAGACGCTGAAGTTCAAGTCTCAGGACTGGCAAAAAAACAAAACAAAACAACAACAAAAAACCCTCATGCTTGCTAGAGTGGTACTTTACCAACCTGAGCCATGCCTCTAATCTTGTTCTTGGTGGTTTGTTTTGGATAGTCCTATAAACTCTTCTGCCCAGGCTTTGAATGATCTTTCTGCTCTCAGCCTCTTTGGTAGCTAGTATTACAGGTATAAGCCATCAAAATCAGGCATCTGGTATGTGTTCTCAGGTAGAGTTTCACTACCTCTTCAAGCTGCACTCAAACTATGATCTTCTCATCTCTACCTCTCAAGTAGCTTGGATCATGGGTGTGCACTACCACATGTGACCCTCCAATTTCTTTTAATGACAATCTCAACTTTTAACTATTGACCCTATTTTTGTGGATCAAGCTTTAAGTTGACTTGAAAGTCTAACAGTAAATTATTAACATTGTTCTAACAATTGTTTTTTTCCTTGAGAAAATAAACTAGAGCCAGGCACCAGTGGCTCACTCCTATAATCCTAGCTACTCAGGAGGCTGAGATCTGAAGATCACGGTTCAAAGCCAGCCCGCCTGTACAGCTTCAAAGTCAGCCCAGGCAGGAAAGTCCGTGAGACTATTATCTACAATAAACCACTAGAAAACCGGAAGTGGCACTGTGGCTCAAGCGGTAGAGTGCTCGCCTTGAGCTGAAGAGTTGAGGGATAATGCCCAAGCCCAGAGTTCAAGCCGCACGACCGGAGGGAAAAAAAAAAAGGAAAAGGAAAATAAACTAGGTGGAAACACATTTAATAATGGTTTACTTTTTTTTTTTTTTTGGATTGAATCCAGGTCTTCATGTATGCTAGGCAAGTACTCTCCCAACTGAATCACATCTCAACTCTTAAAAAAAAAATTATTTTGGGCCAGACATGTTAGATCAAGCCTGTATCCTAGTTACTTGAGAGGCAGAGATAAAAGGATGGTGGTTTGAGGTAAGCTCAGGCTTAAAATTAAAAAAAAACAAAAACAAAAACAAAAACCTAGAAGACTCCATCTCAACCAATGGCTAGGCAAGGTGGTACATACCTGTCATCCCAATGACACAAGGTCTCATGCTTGCTCAGCTTGTTTGTGGGTGGTGTTCTATCACTTGAGCCACACCTCTACTTGGCTCCCCCCTCTCCTCCCGGCCCTGGTTAATCAAAGATGGAATCTTATAGTCTTTTCTGCTTAGGCTGGCTTCAAATAGTGATCTTCCAGGATTCAGCCTCTTGAGCAGCCAGAATTACAGGTATGAGCTATCAGCACTAAGCTTTGCTTTTTTAATTCTGAGATGTAGTCCTACTTAGTGTGTGTGTGCCAGTCCTGGAGCTTGAACTCAGGGCTTAGGCACTGTCCCTGAACTTTATTTTTATTTTTTGTTGGTCGTGGGGCTTGAACTCTGGGCTTGGGCGCTGTCCCTGCGCTCTTCAGCTCAAGGCGAGTGCTCTACTGCTTGAGCCAGAGTGCCACTTCCGGTTTTCTAGTGGTTTGCTGGAGATAAGAGTCTCAATGGAGTTTCCTGCCTGGGCTGGCTTTGAACCACGATCCTCAGATCTCAGCCTCCTGAGTAGCTAGGATTACAGGTGTGAGCCACCAGCACCTGGCTAGCTTTACTTATTTTTTGCTAAAAGTTCTATCCCTTGAGCCACAGCTTTACTTCCAGGTTTTTTTTTTTTTTTAATGTTTTTTTTTTTTTTTAGTGATTTAAATGGAGATAAGAATCTTACAGCCTTTCCTGCCCCAGCTGGCTTTGAACTGTGATTCCCAGATCTCCGCCTCTTGAGTAGCTAGGATAAGTATATTATTCTACCAATGTCCAACAAGTGGTGATTTTTCTACCTTACTAGAGAAAAAATTTGAGATCTTTTTCATAAGTAGGTATTCTATTGAAAGATTAAATACAATAGTGAAACATTATTTTCACCTTACTTTTTAATGTTGGATTTGAGAAAATCTGATACTTGTCAAATTGAAAAGGTTCCAATAATAGGACTTAGAAAGAATTAAATAAAGCCAAACAACTACTTATTACTCAAACTCCAGAAAAATGTAGAAGTCACATCAGATTTATATGACTAGAGAAAATGATGAAGTTTTCAGTTTGGTTTCCTTTTGCATGCTCCTGATTTATAAACCCTATTATTATCATAGACACACTGTTCTAAAAATCTGATGAAAATGGTTAAATTGTAGCTGAGAGGCTGGGTGCTGGTGGCTTCCACCTGTAATCCTAGCTACTCAGGAAGCTAAGATCTGAGGATTGCAGTTCAAAGCCAGCCCAGGCAGGAAAGTGTGAAATTCTTAATTTCAAATTAAGAAACAAAAAAGCTGGAAGTGATAGAGTGCTAGCCTCGAGAAAAAAGCTCAAGGACAGTGTGCAGACCCTAAGTTCAAGCCCCAGGACTGGCACCAAAAACAAACAAACAAAAAGAATGGCTAGATAGATAGAAAGAAAGATAGATAGATAATTTTTTTTTGGGTCCTGTCATAGGGCCTGAACTCTGGGCTTAGGCGCTGTCCCTCAGCTCTTCAGCTCAAGGCTAGCTCTCTACCACTTGAGCCACAGCACCACTTCCGGCTTTTTTCTTTTTGCTTATGTGGTGCTGAGGAATCGAACCCAGGGCCTCAGGCATGCAAGGCAAGGGCTCTACCACTGAGCCACCTTCCCAGCCCTGGTTATATATTTCTATATTGTACAAACAAAAGAAATCTAAAAAATTATCACAAATTCCAATTTTTCTATGTATTGACTAAGGAAGATTAATACTGGTAATGAACACAATTTTTTTATTTTTGTGCCAGTACTAGAGCTTGAACTCAGGGACTTTCTTTTTTGCTTTTAGCATTTTCAGTCAAGGCAGTTAGTTGTTCTATCACTGAACCAATGCTCTACTTCCAGCTTTTGGTGGTTAACTGGAAGAATCACATGGAGTCTCCTGAGTAGCTAGGTGTGAGCCATTAGTATCTAATTGGACATTAACTTCTTTAAGTGAGATCAATTATCTATTCTGAAGAGAACAAGATACAACTATACTCAGGTTCACATGGGAGTTATAATTTTTTTTTGCTCCCCAACCCCTTTCAATTTTTTTTTTTTTGGTCCGGTCGTGGGGCTTGAACTCTGGGCCTGGGCGCTGTCCCTCAGCTCTTCAGCTCAAGGCTAGCGCTCTACCACTTGAGCCACAGCGCCACTTCCGGCTTTTTTCTTTTTTGCTTATGTGGTGCTGAGGAATCAAACCCAGGGCCTCTGGCATGCAAGGCAAGTGCTCTACCACTGAGCCACCTTCCCAGCACGGGAGTTATAATTTTTTAAAAAAGTTTTAGCAAAGATTTATTTATTTGCTGGATATAGGGCTTGAACTCAGGGCCTAGGTGCTGTACCCAAGCTCTTTTTGCTCTCTGGCTAGCACTGTTCCATTTTCAGCCGAAGCATCACTTCCAGTTTTCTAGTGGTTAATTAGAGGTAAAAGTCTCACAGACTTTCCTGCCTGGAATAGCTTTTACTCATGATCCTCAGATCTCAGACTGAGTAGCTAGGATTGTAGGTGTGAGCAACCGATGCCTAGCTCAAGAATAAAGTAGGGAGAAATGAAAAAAGGGAGAAACATTCCCTGATTCCTATACAGGAAATGGGAGTAAGGACTCTGGTAAAGCATCTTAACTTTGATTCCATATTTAGTTCATGATTGCTTAATGTTTAAATGGAGACGTGGAGGCAATGAGAATACCATTGAGTGCTGTATACTTAAAAACTTTGACATAGATTGCTTTTGTGAATGAAGTTCACTTTATTCCAGTACAGTTATTCAGAATCAAATAAATAATAGTAGTTTTGGTTTTACTTTTCTCTGGAGCTGGGGATCAAACTTAGGGCTCTGTGCATGCTGAAGAAGTGCTCTACTACTCAGCAACAATCTGAACCCCAAAAATAGTTTTGAGGCTTAACTACAAAACAGTTTAAAATGGGGAAGGAGTTGTTAGAGAAAGGAGTTTTTTTGTTTTGTTGCTTTTTGAGATAAGAGTTTTTCTATGAAATCCAGGCTGGTCTTGAACTTAAGATCCTCACACCCAGCCTTCAAAGGAATGGGATTTCTTTATTTCTCTCTCTCCTTTTTTTTATTTGTTGGTTGTGCGGCTTGAACTCTGGGCCTAAGTGCTGTTCCTGTGCTCTTCAGCTAAAGGCAAGCACTCTACCACTTGAGCCACAGCACCACTTCCAGTTTTCTGGTGGTTTACTGGAGATAAGAGTCTCATTGACTTTCCTGCCTGGGCTGGCTTTGAACCTCAATCCTCAGATCTCGGCCTCCTGAGTAGCTAGGATTACAGGGATGAGCCACAGGTGCCAGCTTAGGAATGGGATTTCAAGTGATCACTATCACTGTCTTTACATGAAAGTTATTCAAGAGCAAATACTGTACAACTTGTGTCTTGTGGAAATAACTGCTTTTAATTTGTAGCCATATACAGATCATTTGAGGTACTGACACTAATGAGTCTATACTGTGGCTGCTTTGTTTTTGTTTTCATTTGGTTCAACTGTTTTAATATTCATGACAATTAACAAAATTGGAAAATTTCTTGGAATTATCTCAAACTTGGTGAAGAAAGGGAATAAACCATAAGGCTTAATCAACAAGGGAAAAATTTTTTGGCATTAAGAGGGTTTGAACTCAGGGTCTCCCACTTATTAGGAAGGTGCTCTACAACCAGTCCTTTTATTTTTGAGATAGTGTCTTGTTTTTGTGTTTGCCTGGGTAGACATAAATTGCAATCTTCCTTTTTATGCTTCTTGCCATTGGTGAGATTACAGGTGCATATGATCATGCTCCGCCTTTTCTGTTCATAAGATCTTGTGAACTTTTTTGTCTAAGCTTGCCTGGAGCTGATACCTCTTACTCTCTACTTCCCAAATAGCTAGGATTATAGGTATGAGCCACTGATACCTAGTACCTTTTATTTTATGTATGTATGTATGCATGCAGGCATGTATGTACCTATGTGGGTTGTGGGGCTTTAACTCAGGGTCTGGGTGTTGTCCTGAACTCTATTGCTCAAGGCTAGTACTCTATCACTTTGAGCCACAGCTGCACTTCTACTTTTCTAATTGTTAATTGGAGATAAGAGTCTCACAGACTTTCTTTCCTACCTGGGCTGGCTTTGAATCATGATCCTCAGATCTCAGCCTCTCAAGTAGCTAGGATTACAGGCGCGAGCCACCAGCACCCAGCTATATTTTTATATTTTTAACCTCTGTATAAGTCATATTTAGCGAAAATTATAATTAGAGCAAAGAGAAGCTAATAGGTTAGCATCTTGACATGGAGATTATATCAGCATCAAATACTTGTTACATTTAAACAAGAATCAAGATTTTTACTGTTACTTCTGCAGTTAAACAATTTGCTACCTCTTTTGTACTTTGATAAACAATACATAAGGAGTAGGCAATTCACATAGAATTCAACCAATGAGACTAAAAAGGAAAAGAATTAATTCAATCCATGACTTCACATCTATTTTAATTTTTTTCCTGCTGATATGATTTATCACTTTTCCCCTTTGTCTAGAAGCTTACACCAAAGGTACCTTCAAACTCTTAGGCTGCTGTCGAACTTCCATGACATGTTTTCGCCTTAATTCTCGTTCCCTTCGCTTATTATATTCCAGCTGGTTAGTGAGCTCAGTTTGATGCTGCAATCTGATCAACTCACAGCGCATCTTCTGAATTGTGTTGAGGTGGCGGAATTCCAGTTCTTGCATGGACTCATGTTGTCGCAGTAGCATGGCATGTTCTAAGTCCTTCTGAGTCTGCCTTTTGTTTAATTCCTACAATGCAAGAAAAAAAAATCTTAAGAAAAAAAAATCAGGAAATGAATATAATTAACCCCTTGTCTCGAGAATGGCTACACAGTAAATATTAATGTTCTATTACTGTTTTTAAACTAATGCAGGGAAGGTATCAAATCCAAGGCCTAGAATACACAAAGCATATACTCCACCACTAACCTATGCTACCAGTCCCATTTCATAGATTTAATATGAGGAAGAAGTTTACAGTTAAAATGTTGTCAGACGGACCTAGTACTTGATCTTCAATAAATACTCTTCTTTAAAATTAAAAACAAGGGCTGGGAAGATGGCTCAGTGGTAGAGTACTTGCCTTGCATGCCTGAGGCCCTGGGTTCGACTCCCCAGCACCACATAAGCAAAAATGAAAAAAGCCGGGATATGGCGCTGTGGTTCAAGTGGTAGAGTGCTAGCCTTGAGCTGAAGAGCTGAGGGACAGCACCCAGGCCCAGAGTTCAGGCCCCACGACCGGACCCAAAAAAAAAAAAAAACAAAAAAACAAAAAACAAAACCAAATAAAAAACAACAAATGTGCCAGGTGTCAATGGTTCATTCCTATAATACTCAGGAGGCTGAGATTTGAAGATCACGTTTCAAAGCCATCCCAGACAGGAAAGTCTGTGAGACTCTTATTTTCAAACTACTCAGAAAAAGCCGGAAGTAGTGCTGTGGCTTACTAGCCTTGAGCACAAGGAGGCTTAGACACAGTGACCAGACCCAAGTTCAAGCCCCAGGACTGGCAAAAAAAAAAAAAAGTACACACATATACATAAAATATAAAAGTCAAACTCCCTGCCCCCCCTTTGTACCTACAACTATTTGGTGCATCCATTACTTTCATCCTTGCATCCATTATTAAAAAAATTACTGTTTCAATAAACACTAATATATATTATAGACATACTGCTTGTTTTCTTTACTTAACATTATAATGTGTGTATATCTATATAGCTATCTATATCTATATATCTCCCCACATCAGATGCGTTTATAGCTTTTTTCTTGAAGACTAGGTCTATGTAGTCCAGACTGGCCTAGAATTCACTATGTAGTCCATGCTGGTCTTGAACTTCCTAGTGTTATGCCTCCCAAGTATTGGACTATAGGCATACACCACCATGCTAGCACAATAAGGTTTTTTAAGTGCCACAGAAAGATACTGCTTTGTTGTGACACCTTTCCTTCCGCCCCCAACCATTTTTTTTTGGCCAATCCGGGGGCTTGAACTCAGGGCCTGGACACTATACCTTTGCTCAAGGCTAGCACTCTACCACTTGAGCCACAGCACCACTTCTGGCTTTTTCTGCTTATGTGGTACTGAGTAATTGAACCCAGGGCTTCATGCATGCTAGGCAAGCATGCTACCACTAAGCCACTTTCCCAGCCCCCATTTCTATTTTTTAATTTAAGATTTCAGTATCTATGTATGTTGTAACAAATAATTACACTACTGCTTATGTAGGCAAGAACTTTAGAAGGAGATTTAATTGGTGAAAGTATGTGTACATGTATTCTAAAGTTAACTGTTTAATCATGTTCCAAAAGGACAGTACCAAATTATACTTTTTCTTATCTAATTGATGTCTTTTAATTTAAATTTCTTTAGTAAGTGTGGTTGCAACACAAACCAAAATAAGCTTATTGATCCTCAGAAGTAAATTTATCTATACTGAGAATAATTGTTTTCTTGGCTTGAGAGTCCACAACATTTGTCCAATTAATGTTTAGCATGATTATAAAAATGTTAAATAACGGGGCTGGGAAGGTGGCTCAGTGGTAGAGCGCTTGCCTTGCATGGCTGAGGCCCTGGGTTCGATTCCTCAGCACCACATAAGCAAAAAAGAAGAAAGCCGGAAGTGGCGCTGTGGCTCAAGTGGTAGAGTGCTAGCCTTGAGCTGAAGAGCTGAGGACAGCGCCCAGGCCCAGAGTTCAGGCCCCACGACTGAACCCAAAACAAAGTTAAATAGCAACATACATCTCATGGCACTCATTTCAGATCAAAGATACAAAGAATGGCCAGTTCCCTTATTTTTAAATATTTTAGTAAAAGAAATATATTAATAGATACTCTCTTAATTTTTAAAATTAAATATATACATACATACACATATCTCTTTCATTAAAGAAATAAAATTAAGTTGTTTAGTAAATGATTACTATAGGAGACATTGGGGATATAAAAGCCTAAAAAAATTACTGTGACTATACAATTCCAATTCTAATGAAAATGATAGACTCCCATTTCCCAAAACAAGACTATGTGCACATTTTCTATGTATGTAAGATGGACAAGTGCCAAGAAAAATAAAATCATATAAAGATGGAAGAAAGACTTTGGTGATAATGGATGGCACTTCTGGAATGGTAGAGACATAAGGAAGATGGCAAGTTCTATGACTATCTGGGAGGAGTGACAGGCAAAATAAAAATACAGATGTGAAAGACCTGAGAATGGGATATAACTGGCATATGCTCAAAAAAAGCTTCACTGGTGTCCAGAAGGCTGAGATTTGAGGATCATAGTTCAAAGCAGGGAACTCTGAGTCTCTTATTTCCATTTAATCACCAAAAAGCTGAAAGTGGATATTTGACTCAAGTGGTAGAACACTAGCCTTGAGCACAAAACCTCAGGGATAGTGCCTAGGCCCTGAGTTCAAGTTCCAGGACACATGCACAAAAAAATTCACTGGTAAAAAAAAATTTTAATTTCACATCATTCACACATACCTCCCTGACAAGGTCCTGCTCTAAATTATGACGCCCAAGCAACATTCTTCTCTTGAAGCGGCGGCATTCTAGTTCCAGGTATTGTCTCTGACGCCGAAGAAGGTTAGCTTCTTCTTCTGCTTGGAAATGTTGTATATTCTCCTTCTGTTTTGAAAGCCACTCTTGTTTTTCTTTTTTAGGGGTACTCTGGTTTTCATTAAGCTCCTGTTAACATTAAAACACTCCATTCAAAATACATTAAATATGTGAATATAACATTTGATATAAGGTAAACTTATCTAATGACTGCTTTTTGGTTTTGAAACAGGAGGATTTTAAGCTAGTCACATACTCTTCAATCCTCCTGCTTCAAACTCCTGCCTGAGTACTGGAATTATGGTAAATGCCACCAAACCTGGCTATCATACATTTATTTTTGTGGTGCTGGGGAATAAAATCCAGGACCTTATATATACTAGGCAAGAACTCTATCTTAAAGCTACATCCTTAGCCTGATGTATAGTAAATTTAAATAAAAGTAGTTAATTGTTTTGCTCAACTGCAGAATAGTAGCTTGGAGAAGGGAAGTAATACTTTCCTCTTCCTTGAGTTAGTTATGAAATAAGAGTGGGGAAAAAAAGAGATATGTACATCAGAAAATAGGTACGCTTTTTAGCTTAGTGTAGCCACATTTTAATGATTCCCAGCTTCAAAGTAAACAATGGGTTAATAAAGTAAAACATATCCTTCTTTAGCCACTCAAGAAGAATGTGCTTCAAGATCAATCATATCTGAATTAAAATTAGTTATAATACAGTTAATAAATATTATCTTAGTTATCAACATTCTTTTTTGTTTTGAGACAGTATCTCTACATTTATTAGGGTACCCTCAAACTCATGATCCTCCTGCCTCTACTTTCCTAGTATACCTGGGAGTATACCTCCATCCCTGGTTTCAACATTCTTTTTTTGTTTGTTTTTTGCCAGTCCTGGGGCTTGAACTCAGAGTCTGGGCACTAATTCTGAGCTTCTTTTGCTCAAAGCTAGCACTCTACCACTTGAGCCACAGCACTACTTCTGGCCTTTTCTGTTTATGTGGTACTGAGGAATCGAACCCAGGGCTAGGCCACATTCCCAGCCCTGGTTTCAACATTTTTTTTTGGCGGGGGAGGAGGGTTTGGTCATGGGGCTTGAACTCTGGGCCTGGGTACTGTCCCTCAGCTCTTCAGCTGAAGGTAAACACTCTACTACTACAGTCACAGTGCTACTTCCCATTTTCTGAGTGGTTTGTTAGAGATAAGAGTCTCACAGACTTTTCCTTCCCATTGGCTTTGAACTGTGATCCTCAGATCTCAGCCTCCTAAGTAGCTAGGATTATAGGCGTGAGCCACTGGCTCGGCTCTTTTTTTTTTTTTTTGTCATGGGGCTTGAACTCTGGGCCTGGGCACTGTCCCTGAGCTCTTCAGCTCAAGGCTAGTGCTCTCTACCACTTGTACCACAGTGCCACTTCCACTTTTCTGAGAAGTTTATTGGAGGTAAGAGTCTCACGACTTCCCTGCCTAGATTGGCTTTGAACCATGATCCTCAGATCTCAGCCTTCTGAGTAGCCAGGATTACAGGTGGGAGCCTCCAGTGCCTGGCTGGTTTCAACATTCTTTGTGCTGTTTCTGTCAAAATTATGAAACAATTCAATGCAAAAGGACTTGAAATTAGCTAGGTGCTAGTGGTTCATGTCTGTAATTCTAGATACTTAGGAGGAGGCTATGATCCAGAAAGGGAATTATGTCTCAAAACCAGCCTAGGAAGAAAAGTCCTTAAGACTCTATATCCAAAATAACCACCAAAAAGCAGAGATAAAAGTATGGCTTAGGTGGTAGAGCACTAGCCAAGCCAGCAAGCTCAACAAGTACAAGCCTCTGAGTTCAAACAACAGAAAAATAAATAATGGGAAATAGAAATCTACTTTATAGTTTTTATTTTTCAGCATTAATAATCACTAAGTCAAAACCAATACTTCCATACATTATTTTAAATATATCAAACTACTTTTATAGACAAGACAAAAAAACCTGATAGTACACTCAATGAGGTAAACTCTAAGCTAATTAATATTAGCATATTTTTCAACTAATGTTGTAAAAAAATACAAGTCAGCTACCATCAGGTATGGGATAATCCTTTAGAAACCACTAAAACTTATCTTTCTCATTATTAAAAAGGCTTTTCCACAACTTTAAAACATATCAATGCATGTAATAGCAGTAGGTTTTGTGTGCAGTTGTCTGCATGTATATAAAGGAGGAAGAAAGGAAGACTGACATATATCTCCTACATAGTTCAGGCTGGCCTCGAACTCATATTCCTCATAACAAATTGACATTACAAACATGTGACATTACGTGAGTTTTTGAAGGTTGTTCTTCATGACACTAGGGACCAGATCCCAGGTCTTCATGAATGCTAGGCAAGAACTCTATCACTAAGCCAAAACTCACTAGTACTTAAGACTATATGTGTATGTATCCATGGAGAGAGATAAGAATAATGCAGGCACACACATCAAGAATCTCTAGAGTGGGGCTGGGAATGTGGCTTAGTGGGAGAGTGCTTGAATACATGCATGAAACCCTAGGTTCGATTCCTCAGTACCACATACACAGAAAAAGCCAGAAGTGGTGCTGTGGCTTAAGTGGTAGTGCATTAGTCTTGAGCACAAAGAGGCTCAGGGACAATGCCCAGGCCTTGAATTTCAAGCCCTATAACCAACAACAACAACAACAAAAGCCAAAATGAGTCTCATAGACTTTTCTGCCTGGGCTGGCTTCAATGAACCGTGATCCTCAGGTCTCAGCCTCCCAAGTAGCTAGGATTATAGGCATGAGCCACCAATGTCTGGCTATCATTGTTACTCTTAAAATGTTTTTGTTCTTTCATCTTAAAGTTGTGTGTAACCTATGTGCTATTCTTTTTTTTCTTTTGGTTCCGGTCGTGGGGCCTGAACTCTGGGCCTGCGCGTTGTCCCTCAGCTCTTCAGCTCAAGGCTAGCGCTCTACCACTTGAGCCACAGTGCCACTTCCGGCTTTTTTCCTTTTGCTTATGTGGTGCTGAGGCAAGCGCTCTACCACTGAGCCACCTTCCCAGTCCCCCTATGTGCTATTCTTAGGTGTCTGAAGTAGATTAGGCTTCTACTTGTTTCAGCATAAATATATAGTGTAGTCCTATGAGGAGACATCTCCAGATAATGGGAGTTCATACTGGGACAAGGAAAAAAAAAGAATCACTGGAGTATCTTTCAGTCATCTGCTAGTGAATTTCCCATGAAGGCTTTGGTAGCTCTTCTATCCTAGGGATTAGGGGTTATTACTTTATCTTCACCTTTACTTATTTGCTTATTTTCTTGCTTCCATTTATTTATTTGCTTATTTTTTGTGCCAGTACTGAGCTTAGACTCAGGGCCCTCTCATGCTCTCTTAGCTTTTATCTGCTCAAGTTTGGCACTCTACTACTTGAGCATACCTCCAGTTCTGCCTGGTCCAGTTGTGAACCTCACTCTTCAGTAGATCTCTGCCTGAGCAATGAGAACTATAGGCATGAGCCACTAGTGCCTAGCTTCCAGGCTGGTCTTATACTCCTGGACTAACAGGATTCTCAGCCTAAGGAGAAGTCTTTCTTTTTTTTTAGGACAGACTCACTTTCTTTTCTTTTCTTTTTTGAGATAATCATAATAATATACTGTATAGATCATACAATATATACAACATACTGTACAGAAGCCCTGTGATAAGGAGAAATCTTGGGGCCTGAACTCTGAGGTACTGTCCCTCAGTTCTTCAGCTCAAGGCTACTTGAGCCACAGCGCTACTTCCAACTTTTTCTGCTTATGTAGTGCTGAGGAATCGAACCCAGGTCTTCGTGCATGCAAGGCAAGCGCTCTACCACTGAGCCACCTTCCCAGCTACAATTATATTTTTTTAAGACATGTATATATGGTTGGGAACTCCACTTATAATGTATTTTTTTTGTTGGTCATGGGGCTTGCACTCAGCCTGGGCGCTGCCCTTGAGCTCTTTTTGCTCTTGGCTAGTACTCTACTACTTTGAGATACAGTGCCACTTCTGGTTTTCTGGTGGTTAACCGAAGATAAGGAGTCTCATGGACCTTGATGCCTGGATTGGCTTGGAACCATGGTCATCAAATCTCAGCCTCCTAAGCAGCGAGGACTATAGGTATGAGCCCCAGTGCCAAGCTATCCACTTATAATCTTTTCAAACTCAATGTTCCAGAACAGAATTTGAATTCTGATTTATAGCAATGGGAATATACTTCAAGTTGACACTTAACAGCTGGAAAAATCTAATCTATGACTCTCTATTGGTAAGGTGTATGACATCTTTGTGACACCAATATGTATACAGCAAGACATACATCTGACAGGAGTAAATTTTTACATACATGAAAAGTATTAAGTCAAACATTATTCTTATTTTACAAGGATCAAATATTTTACTGCAGTGATTAATTACATGGACTGAAAAGATCAATCAGTCTGTATGGGAGAGAAAAAAAAAAAAAATCAAAAGACATTCTTTCTTTCTTTTTTTTGGTCCGGTCCTGGGGCCTGAACTCTGGGCCTAGGCGCTGTCCCTAAGCTCTTCAGCTCAAGGCTAGTGCTCTACCACTTGAGCCACAGCGCCACTTCTGGCTTTTTTCTTTTTGCTTATGTGGTGCTGAGGAATCGAAACCAAGGCTTCATGCATGCAAGGCAAGCGCTCTACCACTGAGCCACCTTCCCAGCCCAAAAGACATTATTTCTATCGTAGACACCATATAGAATAACTACGTACTTGGAAATTTTCTTGGAAAAAATTAAGAGTTTTATTTAAAGTTGGCACTAAATCTATTTTCAAAATAAAACAAAAACAGTACCACCTTGTTAATTTCCATATTTCTCTAAGATCTAAATTTTTTAATTTTTTTGGTTGGTCATGGGGCTTGAACTTTGGGCTTGGGCACTGTCCCTGCATTCTTCAGTTCAAAGTGAGCGCTCTACAGCTTGAGCCACAGCGCCACTTCCGGTTTTTGAGTGGGTTATTGGAGATAAGAGTCTCACCAACTTTCCTGCCCGGGCTGGCTTTGAACCGCGATCCTCAGATCTCAGCCTCCTGAGTAGCTAGAAAAACAGGTGTGAGCCACCAGCGCCTGGCTGGAAGTGGGCATTCTAAAATTCCTTTTGTAATTCTTTTTTCTTGAGACCAGGTCTTATTATGTAGCTCAGGTTAACCTCAAACTCCCTATATTCCTGCTTTAGCTGGAATTACAGTTGTGCAACCATGAATCATGCTCAGTTCAAGGAAATGTTTAGATTCTACTCAATTAGAAAACTCAGTCAGATTAATGTATTGTAATCAATGTCTTATATACATTTAGCAGTCACAAACAAGAATAGAACGTTTTATCCTAATGGTTCTATGAGTTGAGAACCAATAAATACAAGTAAACAGATAACTGATAGAGAATTTTTATGAAAAGAAGTACCTCCTTAAGCTGCTCTTTTCGAAGCTTATACTCTCTTTTCTGGGATTCCAAAAAGCTATTCAATTCTTTCTTCTGTTGGGCCTGAATATGTTGCTGAAATTTTTTCTCTTCATTAGCCATCACTTTAGCCTATATGAAAAATTTTAAATAAACCTTATTAAGTAAGCAGAGTCAAAGGAAGAGTTTAACCTATATCAGTAAAAAAAAAACTTTTGTTCTATGAGAAAAAAAACTAGAAGCATTACCAAAATAAAATACCAATCAAATTACAAAGGTTTCTGAGTATCCTTATCATCTGAACCTCACAGAACCAGTAAGATGAAATTCACTTTTAAAATGACAATCTCTTACTGTGTCAAAATGTTTTTACTTCTTTTTATTTAAGAGGAATATATTTTCTCAATAAAATACGTATTTATCTTCAAGTGTAATGAAACCAAGATCATTAAACCTAGATTAACTTATATACTAAATAGTGAAATACATTGACCTTTAAACTTTAACAACCTCTAATTTATTCATTAATTTGAAAATACTAACTAGGTTTTGATCCATTATAGACTATTTAAAAAATAAGGTTAAAATGAAAATTTCATGAATTTAGCACTCACAAATAACAGATGTAAATATTTTGTCATATTCTAATGTTTTTTAAACAAATTACCTTGCACATACTAGACAAGTGCTCTGCTACTGAACTATATCTCTAGCCCTTTTTTGAACTAGATTCCCACAATGTAACTCTATCTGGCCTTAAATTTGTGATATTCCTGTCTGCCTCCCAAGTGCTAACACTCAACTTAAATTCATTTATTTATTTATTTTGTCGGTCGTGAGGCTTGAACTCTGGGCCTGAGTGCTATCCCTTAGCTCTTCAGCTCAAGGCGAGTACTCTACCACTTGAGCTACAGCGCCACTTCCGGTTTTCTGGTGGTTTTATTGGAGATAAGAGTTTCACAGACTTTCTTGGCTGGGCCGGCTTTGAACCACGAGGCTTTTGAAGCCTCCTGAGTAGTTAGGATTACAGGTGTGAGCCACCAGTACCGGGCTCAACTTAAATTTTTAGTTACACCGGATATCCTGTTTTATTAATCATTTTTCCTAAATGTGTTAGATTCTACCTCTTCTCAAGCTGCTATCCATACCTACTGATCACATATCAGAATTCTAAGTATCTGTACATTGTTTCATAATATTTTAAAATCAATCTATTTATACTATAACTTACATTGTCAAATTTCTTACTACTCTGGGAGTTTTGGGTTTTGGGAGAGAAGAGAACAAGAAAGATAACTAATAATGCAACGATGCATACTAGTAACTGGACATTATTTTTGATAAATCTGTGTGTGAACTTACTGAGCTTGGTAACTGTGACCAGCAAAATAAAATGAAACTGAAGAAATACCAAAAACATTATAAGAAAAGATTTCACATAACTGAAATATTTAAAAAATGAATCTATATCACATAGTAATAATACTTACTGACAAATAACCAAACTGGGATAAGTCTTAAATCTGAATCTCTCAATTAGCAATCTCAAATATTCTGTGTATATTTTATAATAATCTGTCTTGACGTAAGAATGCTATATAAATTTAAGGAAAGTAGAAAAGCAGTTAAGTTTCTACAACATGACATAGAACAGAGAATTATGAATGGCTTTTTTTTTTGGGGGGGGGGGGGGAGATCACGGGGCTTGCACTCTGGGCCTGGGCATTGTCCCTAACCTCTTCAGCTCAAGGCTAGTGCTCTACCACTTGAGCCACAGTGCAACTTTCAGTTTTCAGGTGATTAATTGGAGATAAAGAGTCTCATGGACTTTCCTGCCCAGGCCGGCTTTTAACTGCGATCCTCAGATCTCAGCCTCCTAAGTTGCTAGGATTACAGGCATGAGCCACCAGCACCTGGCATGAATGACTTTTTGAAACCTAAAATAGCTTTCTATCGTGTGTAGATGAAGACAGTCCTGGAGTTTAAAAGGGCATCATGCTTTCTAGGCAAGTACTCTTTATCACGTAAGCCACAATCACAGACCTTTTTACTTTTTCAGATAGGGTCTTTTAAAAATAATTTTATTTTTTGATTATGTAGTACCAAGGAATTGAACCCAGGCCTCATGCATGCTAGGTAAGCATCCTACCACTAAGCCACATTCCCAGACAGATAAGAGTCTTCTTATTTATTTATTGCCTGGGTTAGCCTTTGATTATGACCCTCTCACCCATGCTTTAAATCTAGCTAAAATTACTACCATACTTTGCTTGCTTGTTAAAATAGAATCTCGCTAACTTTTTGCTCGGGCTGGTTTCAAACATTGATCTTCCCTCTGTTTCCTGCGTAGGTAAAATTGTAGGCATCAAACCATCTATTGGCAGATTAATCAATGTCTTAGACAACCAGGTAACAAAAGCCTAGAGCAATTGAATGACCCACCGTAACACTAAAAAATTATCAAGTATTAGAAAATGGAAACATTTATTAATTCACAGACCCTTTAGTTGATATTAAGGTATATCAATTTTTCAAATGCAAAATGAATACTCATTTACAAATTAGTGAGAAAAAAAACATTACAGGAGCCATCTTCCTTTATGACTAATGTATCATCTATTTACCAAAAGTCTAATACAAGTAAAATAAATGTTTCTTTTTCCTTAGCCAATTAGATGCTAGGAATAGATACTCTAATATCAAAATTGTTTATTAATGCTGAGGATGAACACAAGATAAATTAAACAAATAATACTGAATCAGTCACCTCTTTTTCCATAGAAGCTTGATGCTTCTTGATAAGTTTCTCCATTTCTGCAGCAAAATTATTACGCTGAGTTTCAAGATCTTTGTCTAATCTGAGGCGGTGTTCATCCATCTCAGCCTTTAATTTATTTTCCAGAGTCATCAGCTGCTTTTGATGTTGCCTCCTCATTCGCTTATAGCCAGACATCTGTTCTCTCAGCTCAGAATCTTGCTCATGTTCTTGCATTTGTCTTGTAACCTAGACATACCAAAAACAAGAGAAACAAAGAAAATAAAGTAAAGCATTTTCTCTATAAGTATTTACAGAAGTCTACTATTAACTAATAATATTCTAATAATAGAAGTTTAATTAATTTCCTTTTTTTTTTTTGTTTTCTGTTAGTCGTGGGGCTTGAACTCTGGGCCTGGACACTGTCACTGAGCTCTTCAGCTCAAGGCTAGTGCTCTACCATTTTGAGCCACAGTGCCACTTCCAGTTTTCTGGTGGTTATTTGGAGATAAGAGTTCACAGACTTCTTTGCCCCAGCTGGCTTTGAACCATGACCTTGAGATCTCAAACTCCTGAGTAACTAGGATTACAGGCATGAGCCACCAGTACCTGCCTCCACTGGATCTTTTAAACAAATAGTCAAGCTGGCTCTTGACTACTTGAGCTACATCTTTAGTCTAGTTCTTTTGTTGGTTAATTGGAGATGAAGTCTTGTAAACTTTTCTGTTCATGCTGTAACCCTTAAATGTCAGCCTCCTGAAAGGCAAGGATTACAAGTGTACAAGTGGCACTTGGCCAAAAACGTAATTCAGAGCCTCATGTTTACCAGACAGGGGAACTCTACCATGTGAGCCATGCCTCCAGTTATTTCTGAGGTAGGTTATTTTCACCTTGATTATTTTTGCAGTACAATCTCAATTTATGCCTAATTGGGCCTGGGCTTTGTTGGGGATGACAGACATTCACCATTGCACCCAGAACTGTTTGTGCTTCTCCTGAGGCTGGAATAACAGGCTCACAGCATCTTACTTTGTTTTGTCTATAGTGACAGGAATCAAACTTAGGGTATTGTACATACTAGGCAAGCATTCTTCCAATGAGCTATTGTCTCAGTCCTATCACTGTGGTTTGATTTGCATTTCTCACATAACTGAAGATATTATGAGTACTTTTTTCATGGTCTTATTGTGAAACTATTTGGGAAGCAAATAATGCTCAGTGGTACTGAATTCTTCCATGTTCTCATCTGACATTTATATAACTTTGGAGAACTATTCAAGCCTTTACCCCATACTCTTTTTTTTTTTTTTTTCATTTGAGACAAGCTACAGCTTAGAACTTGCTATGTACCACAGGGTAACCTCAAACTTGTAATCTTCTTGTCTCTACTTCCCAAGTGCCCGGATCACAGGTATGCATTATCAAACTCAGTTCCAATTGCTAATGAGTATGTATTAAAAAAAAAAAAAAACAAACCCAAACACTACGGGGCTGGGAAGGTGGCTCAGTGGTAGAGTGCTTGCCTTGCATGCATGAGGCCATGGATTCAATTCCTCAGCACCACATAAGCAGAAAAAGCCAGAAATGGCACTGTTGCTCAAGTGGTAGAGTGCTAGCCTTGAGCTGAAGAGCTGAGGGACAGCACCCAGGGCCAGAGTTTAGGCCCCATGACCAACAAGAAAAACAAAAACAAAAACAAAAAACCCCAAACACCTGATAGTTTCTTGTAAAATCAAACATATACGCTGTAAAATCTAACCCCTTAGGTATTCACCCAATAAATTAAAACATCATAGTCATAGTCATATAATGACTTGCTATGAATGTTTATAACAAACATATGTGTAGTATCTTCAAATGACAGAGCAAATGTTCAACAGAAGAACAGATATATAAACAGTGGTATAGTCATACAATGGAAAATTACAGCAAAAGGAATGAACTTTGCTGAATACAGTATGTATAAATGCCAAAAACATTAACAAAGAGCAAAAGAGGCCATACACAAAAGGGTATATTCTGTGTGACTGTATTAAAATTTCTTTCTTTAGTTTTTTTGTTGGTCGTGGGGCTTGAACTCTGGGCCTGAGCTCTGTCCCTCAGCTTTTCAGCTCAAGGCGAGCACTCTACCACTTGAGCTACAGCTCCACTTCTGGTTTTCTGGTGGTTTATTGGAGATAAGAGTTTCACGGACTTTCCTGCCCAGGCCGGCTTTGAACCTCGGTCCTCAGATCTCAGCCTTGTGAGTAGCTAGGATTACAGGCGTGAGCCACTGGCACGTAGCTGTATTAAAATTTCTAAACATTCAAAACTAACAATGGGGAAAGCAGAAAATGATGATCATAGAAGTGAAGAACTGACAAAAAAAAACATAAAGAAGGGGCTGGGAAGGTGGCTCAGTGGTAGAGCGCTTGCCTTGCATGCCTGAGGCCCTGGGTTCAATTCCTCAGCACCACATAAGCAAAAAGAAAGAAGCCAGAAGTGGTGCTGTGGCTCAAGTGGTAGAGAGGTAGCCTTGAGCTGAAGAGCTGAGGGATAGCGTCCAGGCCCAGAGTTCAGGCCCCACAACCGGACACCCCCCCCCCCCCCCCCAAATAAAGAAAACTGTGAAACGATACATTTGACATTTTAGGTAATGGTTAAGATAGGTATATATAAATAGAAAAATTTCAAATTGAAAATGTAAAGTCCGTTCATTTCATTGTATGAAGAAAATCCAAGCCAAATTTGAGGAGGGGAAGGGAAAAAACAAATTGTTTAAATAGGGATACAGGTGGACCCATTGCAACAATGAGATGTACAAGTAGTTGTCGAAAACGAACTTTATAACTTTGGTGGGGGGAGGGGGAGGAGAACTAGGTGGGACAGCCTTGTGAGTAGATAGTAGTACAGGTGTGAGCTACCAACACCCAACAAGGACAGGACTGAAAAAAAAATCTACCTACCTTGGCAACTCAGATAAATCAGAAGCCTCCTCCCCCTTTATATATTCTAGTAATGTACCTTTTATATATTAATGTAATTTCTTTGTATCCCTAGTATCCTGTGTCTTGTTTTTGCCGTATTTGTCTGACTAAAACAGCTTTAATACTGTAATGTGTATGTAATGAAAAAAATAATACAAAATTACTGTTTTGGGGAGAATAGGAATAACAGAATATGGCAAATAGTTAAACTTGTCCTTTCCAAACATTCCCCATTTTCTAACTACCCTTCTTACTTCCAGTTCTACTTATGTAAAAATACCATTCCTCATCTCCCCTTGTGCCTAAAATCTAGTAACTTTATAAAAGCTCAAACTATGTTTTATAAATTATTTCTCTAATGCCACTGAATCAAAAATTATCTGGATACATGTTTAGTACCTTGTATTTCTCTTCAGCGTTTAATATATTCTAAAACATGATTTACACATGTCTTAAAGACCTTTTTTTTATTTTTTGCCAGTCCTTGGGCTTGCACTCAGGGCCTGGTCACTGTCCCTGAACTTCATTTGCTCAAGGTTGTCACACTACCACTTGAGCCACAGCATTATTTCTGGCTTTTTCTGTTTATATGGTACTAAGGAATGGAATTCAGAGCTTCAAACATGATAGGTAAGCCCTCTACCACTAAGCCACATTTCCAGCCCTTGAGTACGTTTTTAGTTTAACAGCTCTCATAGTATTTTGCGTATCTTTCTCCTGAGACACTTAAATGTTGAATGAATGCTTTGGAAGACAAACTCAAATACAAAATATAAGATATAGTTATTCTTTTTTTTTTGGTCTGTCATGGAGCTTGAACTCTGGGCCTGGGCTCTGTCTCTGAGCTCTTCAGCTCAAGGCGAGTGCTCTACCACTTGAGCCACAGCATCACTTCTAGTTTTCTGGTGGTTAACTGGAGATAAGAGTCTCCAGGACATTCCTGCCTGGGCTGGCTTTGAACTGTGATCCTCAGATCTCAGCCTCCTGAGTAGCTAGGATTACAGGCGTGTGCTACCAGCGCCCAGCTCAAGATATAATTATACTTAAGTCTACATGTTCAAGTTCTAAAACAAAAAATATAGGTGCTGGTGTCTGAAGTGGTAGTATCTGCCTAAGGACGAGGCCCTGAGTTCAAACCTTAGTACCAATTCACTCAAAATATACACCCAAAATGAAAAAGGTATTTCTTATTAGTGTCTTGGCAATACATACCAATGATGCTGTCCGTATAGTTGCAAAGTGTTCTCGATTACGATAGTGTGATTTATGACGAGATACTTGAGGTGGAGACTGAGGATCTGATGGCCTTGTTCTAAGATCTCCTTCTTCTCTATAATTCTCTTCCTCCTTGACAAACAAAGAGACAATGTCATGTAAGATGAAGCGTTTCTTTGAGGTGTCAAGGGAATTAAAAAGACAATTTTGAAAAAGATAATTTTATCAATAAATCTCAAAGACACAACTTTAAAAAACCAAAATCAGAAACAGCTAGAAGTTACTTCCAGTGTATAAAACAGTACACAAATACATGTGGCTGATTTATATCCCACACAGTATATGAAACTGAAAAGCTGGATAACAATATATTATAAACAAAGATAATAAAACATGTAGTCAATATTCCAAATAGTAATAAAGACAAATTACTCAAGGGTTCTTGGGTGAAGCAATATAGTATAAAACACACACACACACACACACACGCGCGCGTGTGCCAGTGCCCAGCTTCTATATTTTTTAATCAAATAATTAGCTAATGATTTTGAAGGGGACAGGGTCTTACTATATAGCACCCATGCTGATCTTAGACCCATAACATTGAGGTTACAGGAATGTGTTATTTGCCAGGCACTGTAGCTCATGCCTGTAATTCTAGCTATTCAGAAGGTTGAGATCTGAGGAATGAAGTTCCAAGCCAGCACTAGCAGTAAAGTCCATGAGACTCTTATCTCCAAAACTACTCAGAAAAAGCCTGAAAGAGGTAGCACACTAGCCTTGAGCAAAATAAGTACAGATCCAGATTTCAAGCCTCAGGACAGGCAAAAAAAACCCAAAACAAAAAACTATCCTTTTTATTTTGGTGCTAGTCTTGGGGCTTGAACTCAGGGCTTGCATGATGTTCTTGAGCTGTTCTGCTCAAGGTTAGCACTCTACCACTTAAGCCACAGGTCCACTTCCAGCTTTTTGGTGGTTACCTGGAGGTAAAAGTCTCACAACTACCTGAAGTTGTGTTTGAATAGTGATTTTCAGATCTTAGCCTCCTAAGAAGTTAGGATTACAGATGTGAGCCACCACACCCAGTTTTGTAAAACTACCTTTATAATATTCCTGTTATCTATCAGTTAAGCAATAAAAGCTTTGCAAATATTAGAAAAACTAATGCCTCTCCTTGTAGACCTTCTTCTTCTTTTTTTTTTGGCTAGTCCTGGAACTTGAACTTAAGACTTCAAAATTTGCTCAAGGCTAGCACTCTACCACTTGAGCCATAGCACCACTTTTGGTGGTGCTATTCCCAGTCCTACCTTGATTCATTAACTGAAGAACAAGTCAGTGAAGTATCAACTAACTAAAGAAATAATCTGGTCTGGGAAGGTGGCTCAGTGGTAGAGTGCTTGCCTTGCATGCATGAGCCCTTAGTTCAATTCCTCAGCACCATATAAGCAGAAAAAGCCGGGAGTTGGCTGTGGCTCAAGTGGTAGAGCACTAGCCTTGAGCTGAAGAGCTGAGGGACAGTGCCCAGGCCCAGAGTTCAGGCCCACGACTGACCAAAACAAAACAAAAAACTTTTCCTACAGAAAAAAATTCATTAAAAATGTTAGAGAAATAATGGTTGGGGGGGACTGGAGGAGTGACTTGGCAGTATGACCTCTGCCTAGCAAGCATGAGGTCCTGAGTTTAAATCCTAGTATTGCCAATGAATATAAAAAATATTGCCGGGCACCATTGGCTCATGCCCATAATTCTAGCTACTCAGGAAGCTGAGATGGGAGGATCATAGCTTGATGTCCACTAGGACAGAAAGAACCATGGGACTTTTATCTTCAATGAACTTAAGGGAAAAAAAAGTCATAAGTGGAGCTGTGGCCAGGTGGTAGAGTTCTAGCCTCAAGTACAAAAGCTCAGGAATGTGCACTGGAGTTCAAGCTCCCCAGGACCAGCAGGAAAAAAAAAAGTTGTTTTGACATGAATAAAGACACTACTGCTTACCTATCATTTCTAAGAGCTTTTGTGTATTAAAATATGCATAACAAATGTGCTACCTATTTAGTGATTTTAATTGGCATTTGTTACATTTTCATTGTTGGTTTTTCATCATTATTTCCAAAACTTTTTCACCACCTCAAAGAGAAATTCTGTTACAAAAACTCCCATTTGTCCTTTTATTCAGATCATAATAACCTCTAAATTATTTTCCATCTATATGAAGCTACCTAGTCTGCATATTTCATTTAAATTTAATTATACAATATTTGTCCTCTTATATGTATGTCATGTCATTTAGCTTTTGTTTTGGAGATAAGGTCTCACTATGTAGCCCAGGATAACCTCAAGTACACAATCCTCGTGCCTCAGCACCCTATATACAAGGACTGTAGGCCTGTGCTACCATGTGGCATATTTTTTATGTTTATCCATATAATAGCATGTATCAGAACTTCATTCCTTTTTACAGTTCAGTAATATACTGGATGTATATACTATAATTTGTAACCCACTCATCTATACCTAATGTTTTATATAGTACTATAAGCTATTAAGTTACAAAGAAGGCATTTCTATTAAATGCTAAGAATTAGTTACCTAACTTTTCTGTCTTATTTTCTTTCTTTTAATGCTAAGGACAGAATCAAGATTTAAGGCATACTTGGCTTTCTCCCTCAAGGCTGACTCTTATCACTTAAGTCATACCTCCAATTCCCACTTTTTGTTAATTAATTGGAGGTAAAAGTCTCATAGCTTTCTTTTTTTTTGGGGTGGGGGGGGTCCGGTCGTGGGGCCTGAACTCTGGGAACTGGGTGCTATCCCTCAGCTCTTCAGCTCAAGGTTAAAGCTCTACCACTTGAGCCATAGCGCCACTTCCGGCTTTTTTTTTTTTTTTTTTGCTTATGTGGTGCTGAGGAATCGAACCCAGGGCCTCAGGCATGCAAGGCAAGCGCTCTACCACTGAGCCACCTTCCCAGCCCAAGTCTCATAGTTTTCTGCCTACATCGCTTTGAACCTTGATCCTCAGATCTCAGCCTCCTGAGTAGCTAGGATCAGAGGCATGAGCCACTCATGCCTAGCTCATGTAGGTAACTTCAAATAATATGTTGTCCAAAAAGAAATGTACTCTTTACCTGACATGTAACTGTAAATCATCTGTACATCACCTTTATTATAACAATTTACATTTTTCAAAAAATATTACATTTTATATATATATAGAGAGAGAGAAAGAAGGGTAGAGAGAGAGAGAAAGAGAAAAAAGAGAGAAAGAGAAAAAGAGAGAGAGTTTTGTTTTTGTTTTTTTTTTGTCCGTCGTGGGGCTTGAACTCTGGGCCTGGGCGCTGTCCCTCAGCTCTTCAGCTCAAGGCGAGTGCTCTACCACTTGAGCTACAGTGCCACTTCCGGTTTTCTGGTGGTTTATTGGAGATAGGAGTCTCACGGTCTCTCCTGCCCGGGCTGGCTTTGAGCTGCGATCCTCAGATCTCAGCCTCCTGAGTAGCTAGGATTACAGGCGTGAGCCACCAGCGCCCGGCAAGAGAGAAAGAGGGAGTTTTGTTGTGGTTCATGGGGCCTGAACTCTGGGCCTGGGCACAGTCCCTCAGCTCTTCAGCTCAAGGCTAGCACTCTACCACTTAAGTCACAGTGCCACTTACGGCTTTTTCTGCTTATGTGGTACTGAGGAATTGAACCCAGGGGCTCATGAATGCAAGGCAAGCACCCTACCACTGAGCCACCTTCCCAGCCCCAATAATATTTATATTTTTATTCTAAGATTTTAAAATAATTTTCCATTCCTTTAGTTTTTCCAAAATGTTAGTTTTCCAAGCGGAAAAAAAATTAACAAAAGTAATGCTATATATACAAACATTCCAAGCTTGTCAAACTTCAAGTGAAATCTCTTTTAGTGAGATGGAAAAAATGTATTTATAAAAATTGAATTTTTTTCACTGAAATTCAAGTACTTACAGGTTTTAAATGGATAACTGAACTGTTAGACATCACTGTATGGTCTCCCTCCATCATGTCTAGCTCACTCTTGTCATCTGAGGCATCTGGAAGACTGTTAACACTACTGCTTTGGCTGCTGGCACTGATAGACATACTGGGAATAGACTGGTTACTTCCGACACTATTCACTGTTCCTGTCCGGCCAACACCATGGTCTTGCTCCTAAGGAGAAAGAACATATTAAAATATCTTTATTCTTAATTCTTGATTAAAACATCTAGCACACATATTACTTGGTACATAGTTCTTACAAACAAAGTTAGCTGCCCATTGAAAGAAATTCCCTACATTTGTCAAAATTTTACAGAAAAATAAGCAAAGATGCCAACAATTTTTTTTTTTTTGGCTGGTCATGGGGCTTGAACTCTGGGCCTGGGCACTGCCTGAGCTCTTCAGCTCAAGGCTAGTGCTCTACCACTTGAGTCACAGCACCTCTTATGATTTTCTGGTGGTTAACTGGAGATAAGAGTCTCATAGATGTTCCTGCCTGGGTTAGCTTTGAACTGGGATCCTCAGATCTCAGCCTCCTGAGTAGCTAGGATTACAGGAGTGAGTCACCAGCACCCAGCCAACAGGTTAACATTTAAAAAAAAAATGTAATCATTTAAAAAAAGTCAATTAATCAGTTTCATGTGTGTATATATGTACACATGTAAGCACGGGCGCACGGGCGCGCGCGCGCGCACACACACACACACACACAAAACACTAGGGATTAAGCCCAGCACTCTGTGCATGCTATGTAGGTACTGTACTACTGAGTTATATCCTCAGCCTAGTTTGGAGTAATATCCAAACTATAGCTCTTTTCCTATAGTTTTGGGCACATTTAAAAAGTATTTCTATAACGAATCTCATGGGAATAGAAATTTTGCTCATTTCTCAATGATTCTTTTTTTTATTATCAGTTGTGGGGCTTGAACTCTGGGCCTAGGCGCTGTCCCTGCACTCTTCAGCTCAAGGCGAGTGCTCTACTGCTTGAGCTACAATGCCACTTCTGGTTTTCTAGTGGTTTATTGGAGATAAGAGTCTCAAAACCTTCCTGCCTGGGCTGGCTTTGAACCATGATCCTCATATCTCAGCCTCTTGAGTAGCTAGGATTACAGGCATGAGCCATCAGTACCCGGTTTCTCAATGATTCTTGTGGTTAATAAAAACTCTTTCTTTTAAAAGAAAAATCTTAAGCAGGGAACTAGTGGCTTACTCCTGTAATCCTAGTGAGTCATGAGGCTGAAATCTGAGGATCATGTTTCAAAACAGCCTAGGGTAGAAAGTTCCAATTAAAAGTTCACAACACACTTACTTTCAATTTTTGGAAAATTCTTATCTTCCAAAAAGCCAGATGTGAATTGGTAACTCATGCCTATAAGCATAGCTACTCAGGAGGCTGAGATTTGAGACTCAAATTTCAAAGTCAGCTCAAGCAGGAATGTCTGCAAGACTCTTATTTCCAATTAACAACCAAAAAGCTGGAAGTGTAGCTATGGCTCAAGTGGTAGAGCACTAACCTTGAGCAAAATGTTAGGGACAGTGCCCAGGCCCTGAGTTCAAGTCCCAGGAGAGGCACAAAAACAAACAAACGAAATACAGAGATGAGAGTCCTGACTCAAAAGTTAGACCACTAGCCTGGAGTGAAAAGTTAGACCTCTAGCCTCAGTACCTGTTAAAAATAGTAACAATAATAATTAGTAATAATAATAATTTGTTTCAGAAGGTGAAGTGATCTCTCGCTGGAAATCAACAATAAAAAAATCAAAGACTTACAATCCTGACAAGAGCAAAAAAAACTTTTAAAAGATTTAAAGGAAAAACAGCTTTATATTGGGCACTGTTGGCTCAAGTCTCTAATCTTAGCTACTCGGGAGGGTGAGATCTAAGGTTCATAATTGAAAGCCAGCCTGTGCAGGAAAATCTGTGAGACTCTTTTATCTCCAATTAATTAGCAAAAAGCCAGAAGTAGAGGTGTGGCTCAAGTGGTAGTGTCAGCTTTGAGGGAAAAAGCTAGGCAAGAGCATGAAGCTCTAAATTTAAGTACCAGTACTAGCACATAACTCACACAAATAAGATAGCATAACACATAATAACACTTTACATACTTCCTTGTAAGAAAGTTCTCTAACAATTCTATTTCCACTCTCCATAAAATATTATAGAAAGAAACTGGCCTTAAAAAGAAGACTTATAGGGCTGGGAAGGTGGCTCAGTGGTAGAGTGCTTGCCTTGCATGCATGAGGCCCTGGGTTCGATTCCTCAGCACCATATAAGCAGAAAAAGCCAGAAGTGGCACTGTGGCTCAAGTGGTAGAGTACTAGCCTTGAGCTGAAGAGCTGAGGGACAACGCCCAGGCCCATAGTTCAGGCCCCACAACTGGCAAAAAAAAAAAAAAAAGACAAATTTGAATACATGTGTGTGTTTTTACTTTCAATGACTTAACCACAATGAGGTTTGCTTTCCTCATCTGTGAAGTATTTTAGAGCTATCTATCTAGATGGAAGACAATTATTTAGAACTAAAAGGAATCAAGTTTTCTTGTTGTTACAGTAGTTTTATAGTAGCATTACAGTAGCCTAGTAGTTTTATAAATACTGTTTTATTTGGTCAGTTGTGGGGCTTGAACTTAGGGTCTGAGTGTTATCCCTTGAGCTCATTTGCTCAAGGTTAGCACTACTCTACTACTTTGAGCCACAGCTCTATTTCTGGTTTTTGAGTGGTTATTGGAGATAAGAGGCTCATGGGGCTGGGTATGGGTGACTCCTGCCTATAATCCTGGCTACTCAAGAGGCTGAGATCTGAGGATCACTGTTCAAAGCCAGTCCAGGCAGAAATATGTCCATTAAGACTCTTAGCTCCAATATACTTAGAAAAATCTAGAAGTGGCACTGTAGCTCAAGTAGTAGAGTGCTAGCCTTGAGTACAAAGAGGCTCAGGGACAATGCCTAGCCCTGAGTTCAAGCCCTAGGACCAGCCAAAACAAACAAACAAAAAAACCCAAAAAACAAAAATCACCTAAAAACTAAAAAAGAGTTTCACAGGGACTCTTCTGCCTGGGCTGGCTTCAAACTGCAATGCTCAGATCTCAGACTGCTGGGGAGCTAGGATTACAGGCGTGAGCCACCGGTGCCTGGTTTTATAATAATATTTTTTGGGGGTAGAGAGGTCAGTTGTGGGGTTTGAACTTTGGGTCTGGATGTTGTCCCTCAGCTCTTCAGCTCAAGGCTAGTGCTCTACCACTTGAGCCACAGCACCACTTCCGATTTTCTGGTGGTTTATTGGAGATAAAAATCTCATGGTTTTCCTGCCTGGGCTGGCTTTGAACTGTGATCTTTAGATCTCAGCTTCCCTAGTAGTGAGGATTATAGGCATGAGTCACCAGTGCCCGGCTTTATAATAATTTTTTAGTCAACTTTGAGAGTCTACATTTTCAAGTATTTTCAGCATGCCCCATGGAACTTAAATATCCAGTTAGTAAGTGATTTTTTTTTTTTTTGCGGGGGGGGGATGGTCATGGGGCTTGAACTCTGGGCCTGGGTGCTGTCCCTCAGCTCTTCAGCTCAAGGCAAGTGCTCTACCACCTGAGCCACAGCACTACTTCTGGTTTTCTGGTGGTTAATTAGAGATAAGTCTCACAGACTTTCCTGCTTGGGCTGGTTTTGAACTGTAATCCTTAGATCTCAGCCCCCTGTGTAGCTAGGATTACAGGTGTGAGCCACTGGTGCCTGGCCAGTAAATGATTTTTGTGGGTTTTTTTTTTTTTTGGGTCTGGTTGTGGGGCCTGAACTCTGAGCCTGAGCGCTGTCCCTCAGCTCTTCAGCTTTAGGCTAGCACTCTACCCCTTGAGCCACAGTGCCACTTCCAGCTTTTTTCTTTTTGCTTATGTGGTGCTGAGGAATCAAACCCAGGGCCTCATGCATGCAAGGCAAGCGCTCTACCACTGAGCCACCTTCCCAGCCCTTTTGTGGTTTTATTAAAGGGATTCACTGGCTAAGAAATATGAAAGGGACAGCTTGACTGTGTTTATGAGGGTATTTCCAGAAACTATTGCATGAGGGACAGTACATCTAGAATATGGACAGCATCCTCCAACAGGCTATGAGGTTCAGAAAAAAGTGAAAGGAAGCAAGCCCATCAGCCTATGTACAGCCTTGATTTTTCTTGAGCAGGTGCATCTATCACTCCTGCCATTGCCCTTGGACATCAGACTTTCAACATGGACTTAATACTACCAATTGTCCAAGGAGTTTCAAGGGTTTCACCCATTAGCCTGAGGCCACATCATTACCTGTTCCTTTTGGTTTGAGGCTTCTTAGAATGAGCTCTGGCTCTTCATTATGCAGATAGGCATTGAGAAATTTGTCTCAACTCTGATCATGTAAAGCCAATCTCCTTTAATAATTCTATGTATATTCTATTGATTCGCTTCCTTTAGAAAACCCTACCAATAAATAGATTCTTTTAAAAGATTTTTTTTTTTTTTTTTTTTTTTTAACTGGGTGCTGGTTATCTCCAATTAACCACTCAAAAACCACAAGTAGAGCCCTGGCTCAAAGTGGTAGATCATTATAGCCTTGAGCAGAAGAACTCAGGGACAGGACTTCGGCCTGCAAAAAAATAAAGATTTCTTATAGTCTTTATTATACCAATGTGTACTCTAATGTGATTGTGTTTAAAGCATGTGAGCTAGCATGAAATTTTATTTGTAATTGGAATCAAGGAAGAGAAATAAGAGGAAGGGAGAGGGAGAAAAAAAGTAATTACAATTTCAGAACAATTAATATGAAAAATTCTTGGAAAGGCATTTTTATAGAAGGAAAAACACAACAAAGATAACTCAAGATTTGAATTATTTTAGGAATTACCTCTTCTTCTTCCTGTGCTTCTACTGCTGGTCCATTATGTGCCTCTTGAAAAAGGAGTTTCTTCATTTTTCGATACTGCAGATTGTCTAGCTCTCTTACTGCATCCTTAGTCCTTTGAATAAGATCTATTAACACTGTTTCAGGGCGTTCCCGAAGAACAAACATGTGCTAGAGAGGGTAGAAAATAAAATTCAAGTTGAAACTTTTTTTTCAGTTCTATAATCCCAGCCTGTTCTTTAAAAAAAAAAAAAAGCAGCACAGGGGGACTTGAACTCAGGGCTTTATGCTCTTGCTTGGCTTTTTCACTCAAGACTAGTATTCTACCACTTGAGCGTCACTTCACATCAAGCCTTTTGTTGGTTAATTGGAAATCAGAGTTTTCTGCTGAAGCTTGCTTCAAACTACAAAGGTAGGATTACAGGTATGTAGCACCAAAGTTGGGTGACTTAAAAAATCTCGATAAGACACTTAATTTTTTGTTGTTGTTATAAAAGTGATGTACAGAGTACATTTCTTTTTGGACAGTAATAGCTCTTCCCTCAGTCTCTCCCATCCACCCACAAGTTGTATAGTGAAAATACATACTATGGAGCAGGCAAACAAATACTATACATAGATAAGGGATCTAATAACCAAATACCTACCTAGCTCATTGGATCATTACAATATGAATTAAAAGGAATTTTTTACTTATATTAGAAAATTGTAAAGAGCTAGTTACATTTTTCATTTTGGGGGGCAGTACCAGGGTTTGGGCTCAGGTCCTTGTGCTTACCAGACTAGTATACTCTACCAATGAACATTATCTACAGCACTGCTTTTTGCTGCTTATTTAAAGATAGTCCTGGCTGGCCTTGAATTTTGATCTTACCCTCCTGTATAGCTTGGATTATAGGCATGAGCCAATGGCACATTTCCACTTCTTTAGTTTAGCATATATTACTACTAAAAATATTCAGTCTTTGTATACAAAACTAACTTTAATATTTCTAAATTTAAAAGTACACATAGATATTGTTATTTCTCCATCTCCTTTCCTAAATTTGATCATGCTTATTTTTTACTAACATAATTTATGGATACATTAAAGGGCTTTCTTTTTCCTTTTTTGTCTGAAAGTCTTCATTACCACAGATAGTCCAGGCTGCCACAAACACACAATTTATCTGCTTCTCATTCCTTTGTGCTGGGATATGAATCACCATGACTGATTTAGTATGGCTTTTGCTGCTATTTATGAGTATCTACTTACTTTGGCTTTCATTTCTGAGACCTGAGTAGGTGAAGACTACAGGGCATGTACTACCATGACTAACTAAAATAAAAAGAGTATACCTCAGTAATACAGCACTTGTCTAGTATGCACAAATCCCACCAACCCAAGGACTCAGAATATTTATAACTCTAACTCAAGAAAGAAAGAAAAGGGGCTGGGAAGGTGGCTCACTGGTAGAGTGCTTGCCTTGCATGCATGAGGCCCTGGGTTCGATTCCTCAGTACCACATAAGCAGAAAAAGCTGGAAGTGGTGCTGTGGCTCAAGTGGTAGAGTGGTAGCCTTGAGCTGAAAAGCTCAAGGACAGCACCCAGACCCAAAGCTCAGGCACCATAACTGACCAAAAACAAAAAACAAGCCTGGTACATGTCTCTAATAAAGTACTTCTTGCCAGGCGCTGGTGGCTCACGCCTGTAATCCTAGCTACTCAGGAGGCTGAGATCTGAGGATCGCAGCTCAAAGCCAGCCCAGGCAAGAGAGACCATGAGACTCTTATCTCCAATAAACCACCAGAAAACCGGAAGTGGCGCTGTAGCTCAAGTGGTAGAGCGCTCGCCTTGAGCTGAAGAGCTGAGGGACAGCGCCCAGGCCCAGAGTTCAAGCCCCATGACCGACAAAAAAAAAAAATAATAATAATAAAGTACTTCTTTAGGAAATGCTAATTGGGTTCAATCCAATACTGCAAAAATCAAAACAAAACAAAAACCCTAAAACCAAACAATTGCCTTTATATCTAAGAAATGTGTTTCAAGGGCAGAGTGAATGGCTCAGCTGACAGAATGTATACCTACTATTGTGAGGCTCCAAATTCAATCCTCAGTACCAGACACATACTTTTTTTTTTTTTTTGGGTCCGATTGTGGGGCCTGAACTCTGGGCCTGGGCGCTGTCCCTCAGCTCGTCAGCTCAAGGCGAGCGCTCTACTGCTTGAGCCACAGTGCCACTTCTGGTTTTCTAGTGGTTTATAGGAGATAAGAGTTTCACAGACTTTCCTGCCTGGGCTGGCTTTGAACCGCCATCCTCAGATCTCGCATCCTGAGTTGCTAGGATTACAGGTGTGAGCCACTGGCACCTGGCTCACACAACAAGTTTCTAAATACAACAGAATAAAAATTAGGCAAGGCACTAGTGGCTCACACCTATGATCCTAGCTACTCAGGAAGTTGAGATCTTAAGATCATGATTTGAAGCAAGCTGGGCAAGAAAGTCTGTAAGACTTTTTACCTCTTTCAATAAACTACCCCCTAAAAGCAGGAAATAGAACTGTAGTTCTATTAGTGTAGAGCATTAGCCTTGAGCAAGAGAAGTTCAAGGACAGCACCCACACCCTGAGTTCAAGCCCTGGGATTGGCACTAGTACACACATGCACACACATGTGCACACAGACAAATTAGTATTTTAATGGACTAGTGTGTATGCTAAGTGCTTACCTGGCATTCAAAAGACCCTGAATTTTATTTTCAGTACCAAACAATTTAGTATTTTACTAAAACCAGTAAGTACAATTAATCACTAATCAGAATTCAAGAATAACATTATTTAAAATCATTTTTCAAAGATAAAAACAGATTTTTAAATATTATACAGACTGACCTTTAAAAGTTCCTCTGATGTAGGACGATCTTGAGGGATTTTCTGGAGGCAAGAATCTACAAAGTTGCGAAAATAATCAGACCTATTGTAAAGGAAAGTATCAAGTGAACATATTGCTATTTCCATTAAAAACATATCCACAAATCAAGGCACATGCCTACTAATGGGAAGGGGAATAAAAAAAAAGTCAAAGACTACTTTCACACAAAAAAATTAATCTAAGATAATCAATGAATCTTATCAAATTCCAAATTTTCCATTCACAAATCCTGGGGCTAGAACTATAGATCCAGAATAGTGTGCTTAGCATATACAAGGCCCTGGGTTCAAGCCCTGAAACATATATACAAACATAAACACACATCTGTTCCCACATATTTAAACACCAGAATTCATTCAATAAACAAAAAGAAGGAAACTTATTTACTTTTAATACAAATCCAGAATGGTTATGTCTTGTTTTCTTTTTTCCTTTCCCTAAGCCACTTCTCTTTCTTATATGCCCTTGTATCATAGAGCATGTTTTAGAACATTATCTACTCTGGAGAGTTGTTTTTGTATTTTTTGTTGTTGTTGTTGGTCATAGGGTTTGAACTCAGGGCCTGGAAACTGCCCACAGCTTTATGTGCTCAAGGCTTGCTCTCTACCCCTGAGAACTACAGCTCTAATTCCACGTTTTGTTCTGGTTAACTGAAGATAAAAGGCTCATGGACTTTCCTGGCTTTAAACTGGTCCTCAGATCTCAGACTGCTGAGTAGCTAGGATTACAGGTGTGAGCCACTGGTACCCAACTAATTACATTTTTTTAAGTACCCCTATTTATATATCAATTTGTAAATCTTGAAGTGTATATTAAGTATGCTAGACATTTCCTTAGAAATTCTCAAATGCTAAGTAAATCTGAAGAATTAATGTTCTATTATAAATTTTTACCACCCATACTAAAATTGTCACTCATTTCTCCACTAACTTTGTGCATGGAGGGGGAGTGTGTGCATGCGTCACTACTGGGGCTTGAGCTCAGGACCTCTCAAGCACTCACTTGGCTTTTTACAATCAATCCATCACTTAAGCCACACTTCCAATTTCAACTTTTTGTTGGTTAATTGAAGAGACTTTGCCTGAGTTGGCAAAGTTCTCAACCACCTGGGTAGCTAGATTACAGGCTTGAGCCCCTGGTGCCTGGATAGCCTCCACAAACTTCATCACATGAATGAACTTATTTTTATCAAACCATAGATGCACTAAATGATCAAGGACATCTGAATAACATTTAATTATAACTAAAATGATCTCAAAGTTTTTAATTACCTGATTACTTTGAAAAAGTCAAATTACTTTACCTATGGATTTTTTTTTTTTGGGGGGGGGGATACAGATAGCCTTGGGACTTGAACTCAGGGTCTGCATGCTGTCCTTTAGCCTATTTGCTCAAGGATAGTGTTTTGCCACTTGAGCCATACCTCCAATTTTGGTATTTCTGGTGGTTAATTGGATATAAGAACCTCAAAAGGCTTTCCTGCCTGGACTGGCTTTTAACTATAATCCTCTGATCTCAGCTTCCAGAGTAGCTAGGAATGAGCCACCCACACCTGGTTATGTTTTTGGTTTTGGGTTTTTTTTTTTTTTTTTTTTTTGGGGGGGGGAGGTCAGTTGTGGGGCTTGCGCACTGTCTGAGCTCTCTCACACAAAGCACTCTACCAATTTGAGCCACAGTGCCACTTCTGGCTTTCTGGTAGTTTATTGGAGCTGAAAGTCTCATGGACTTTCCTGACCAGGCTGGCACAGAACCACAATCCTCAGATCTCAGCCTCCCAAGCAGCTAGGATTATAAGCGTGAGCCACTGGCAACTAGCTTATCTGTATTTTATACTATATACATTCTAAACAATTCATTACTATGGGTTGTAACAATTTATACACTTAAACTATAAAATATTTAAAGTTTTGGTATATTTATTGTATGATTAGGGTTGTATGTGTTCCAAAAGTTTAAAGGAAACTTTTGTAAAATCCATGTTACATTATTTATCTTTTATATCTGAACTGTCTTTTATAGTTATGTAATGAAGACATGAATATTAAAGGTAAAAATAAACCTAATTAAAAACTTCTTCAAGTAGTACATTTTATCTATATAAAATCAAATTATTTTGATAATGGATTATGTAAAACATTTCATTTATACAATGTTTAGCAGTATCTCTTAGCAATACTCACCATTCATTAGACTGTAGTGTAGGGGATTCATTTTGGGCTATGTGATATAAGGCACTCATTGCATTCATATTAAATAAAGGAGGCTTCCTTTCCGCTGTAAAAGAAAGGAAACTTTCCTGTTAAAATAGGAATTATATAAGGGCACTCAAGTAAGTATATGAAAACACATTTTCTGTTGAAAACAGACAAATATACCAAAAAAAAAAAAAAAAAAGCCACACCAAATACAAAGTACTTTTTCAAGTGAACCAATTAATAAGTTACTGAGATGGGCATAGGTGGCTCACACCTGTAATCCTAGCTACCCAGGAGGTTGAGATCTGAGGATTGCAGCTCAAAGCCAGCCCGGGCAGGAAAGTTTGTGAGACTCTTATCTCCAATTAACCACCAGAAAACTGGAAGTGTTGCTGTGGCTCAAGTGGTAGAGTGCTAGCCTTGAGCCAAAATGCTCAGGGACAGCACCCAGGCCCAGAGTTCAAGCCCCATGACTGACCAAAAAAAAAAAAAAAAGAATAAAATACTTGTCTGATGCCCTATAATCCTTAAATGTGTAAGGGGTTTGGGTTTGTTTTAGCAGTACTGGGGTTTGAACTCAGGGTTTTGAATTTGCTAGGCAGGCACTCTAACATTTGAGCCATGCCCCTAGCCCTTGTTTGTTTTGCAGGTAGGATCCTACCTTTTGGTCTCACTGGTCTCAGACTCTGATACTCTTACTTAAGGCCTCCTGCCTGGGACTACAGGTATGCCACCATACCCAGTTACAATTAAATGGGGACCAGCTAACTTTTTTTCCCAAGATAACGTAGAACCATGATTCTTCAGATCTCCACCTTTTGAGTACCTAGAATTATATCCATGAGCTACTGTGCCCGGTCTTGAATGTTTATTCCTTACAAATGAGAACATTTTCCTAAAGAACCATATTATATCCACTAAATTAAGACAATTAATGTTGAAATAAAATATCCTCTAATTGCCAAACCCTACTCAAGTTTCATTCCAATGTCCCAAAAATATTCTATGAAGCAAAATGAGATTTGACCAATTGTTTTCTTAAAATGACTTGCTCATTTTGAGTTGCCAAACTTAAGGACAAAAATTAACCATATTTCCCTATTATCCTTTAACATCTAAAAATCTGTAGTGATTTGGCCTCATTCCTTTTTTCTTTTTTTTTTGTCAGTCCTGGGGCTTGAGGTGGCACATAATTTCTGGCGGTTGTTACTGACAGAGTTCATTTTGATCACTTAAAATTGTGTCTACCAGAGTTCTTCATGGTAAAGTTTCTCTTTTTCTCTGTGTACTTAAGAAATATCTTATGAGCTTGGAACCAGTAGTTTATACCTACAATCTTAACTGTTCAAAAAGCTGAGATCCAATGAGTCACATTTAAAGCCAGCCTTTGAAGAAAAGTCTGCATGACTCCACTTCAAAAATAACCAGCCAACAAGCTAGATTGGAGGCATGGTTCAAGTGGTAAAATGTCAATTTTACAACTTGCAGCAAGTGCAAGGCCATGAGTATAAACACCAGTATGGCAAAAACAGTTTATTTATAAAAGCTGGCTTCTGTGTCTTTTGGACGTGACTTCATTATTTGATTACTTTCCTGCATCCTGGTCCACTAAGATGTTTCGGGATCAGTATGTACTTTCCAACAACCCTAGAACCTGGATTGACTATTTCTTCAAAGAGCATGGCACTATGTATTGTGTTACTGGGGTGTCACTGCTCTCAGAACCTCCATTTACACGCATAAATACAAATTAAACATTTATATTTATTGAAATAAATAAGAATCATTATAATGTATCAAATTCTAACACCACAGTATTTTAATTTCCTCTTTTCTTATTTGTAAGGATCTCCTCTAACAATGATAAACTTTGTTCTCACTGTACTTACTATATTTTTTAATTTAATTCATTCTTTCTTATGTAACCAAACACCCATCTTTGCCACCATTCTTTCCAAAATGTCCTCTTTACTCTGTTCAATTCTGAATCCCCATTCCATTTCACCAAACAATGTGAATGCTTTCTTCATACATTGTTTCTAATACCACACCCAAACCAGGTCACTTCTTGCAGAGGTTCCCTTCATTAGGGAATTCTCTAGATATTATTAGGCTTTGTTACTTGCTAGACTGACCCTAAATATGGATACCCGCTTTAGACACTGGCTCTATTTAATGGGAAGTTCCCCTGTGCTTTCACTTCCTCATCCCCCCCTTAGGTTCTAATAATTCTTGGTTAAGCCACCTTCATGCATGAATGCCTTAGTCAACTGACTAGGCCTCTGAATCTCTACACCGGATCAGACTCTTGTTTATGTACACTTGCCAATTTCTGATTTCTCATAACAGGCTATCAAAAATCTACTCATTTGAACTCTAAGATCTACCAAGGGGCTACCATGGTTCATCAACTGATAGGGATACCTAACCTATTCTGTCTTATCCAGTGGCTTTAAGATTTAATTGTTTTGGGAAGAACACAGCGGTACTGAAGAAATTCTGAATGAATAGAACAACTAATTTATCTGTTTCTATAATTATTGAGGTCTTTATTTGGCAGATCCAATTGACATTTCAGTCAAAATATTTTACTGTTTTGCCGGGCGCTGGTAGCTCACACCTGTAATACTACCTACTCAGGAGGCTGAAATCTGAGGATCGAGGTTCAAAGCCAGCCTGGGCAGGAAAGTTCGTGAGATTCTTATACCAATAAGCCACTCAGAAAACAGGAAGTGGTGCTGTGGCTCAAGAGCGCTAGCCTTGAGCTGAAGAGCTGAGGGACAGTGCCCAGGCCCAGAGTTCAAGCCCCACAACCGACAAAAACAAAAAAAATTATTTTACTGTTCTGTTATTCTATGTTTTGAAACTAACAACCCTCCTATCTCTAAATTCAGGCCTGGAATACAAGTATGCACCTTCAGGCTTGTCTCTACCTCCAATTCTAATTTTAGCTACTACTAAACTCGTGTGTGTGTGTGTGTGTGTGTGTGTGTGTGTCTGTATGTCTGTCTTAAACTCTGTGTGTGTGTGTGTCTGTGTGTCTGTATGTCTGTCTTAAACTCTGTGTGTGTGTGTGTGTGTGTGTCTGTGTGTATCTGTCTGTCTGTCTGTCTTAAACTCAGAGCCTTACTCCCTTAATTATTCTGCTCAAGGCAGGAGCTCTACCACTTGAGTCATACCTCTACTTCTATCCTTTCCTTGGTTACTTGGAAATAAGAAGTCTCTCAAGCCATGTAATCCTAGCTACTCAGGAGACTGAGATCTGAGGACTATAGTTCAAAGCCAGCCCAAGCAGGAAACTCTTATCTCCAATTAATGATGAAAAAAGCCAGAAGTTCAAGCCCCATGACCGGCAAGAAAAAAAAAAATCCCAAAAGAAGAGATCATTTTATATATGCTTATATTGAAAAATAATCATAAAAGGCAAGGCAAATGGCCTCAAATGTTACCATTTTCCCTTTGTCTCATAATCAAAAGAGTGATGACTTAGTATCTACCTAGGAAGTAGTGCTAAAAATCCTCAGTTAACTGTTTACTTGGCTCACTTAACAGTGGAAATGTAAGTTATAATATTTTCCTGCTTTAGCATACTTCTGCTTACAAGCAATAGAATGTGTACATAAAACAAAAACTGCTATAGTAAACTGAATCCAGTCTCTTTCCCTAACTGCAATAATCTATTATGGTAGTTTATTTATTTATTTTTTGCCAGTCTTGGGGACTGAACTCAGGGCCTAGGCATTGTCCCTGAGCTTCTTTTGCTCAAGGCTAGCACTCTACCACTTAAGCCACAGTGCCACTTCTGGCTTTTTTTGTTGTTGTTGTTGGTCATGGGGCCTGAAATCTGGGCCTGGGTACTGTCCCTCAGCTCTTCAGCTCAAGGCCAGCGCCCTACAACTTGAGCTACAGCACCACTTCCAATTTTTTATACTATGTGGTACTGAGAAATCGAACCCAGGGCCTCATGAATTCAGGACAAGCACTACCACTGAACCACCTTCCCAGCCCAGTTCTGGCTTTTTGTTTATGTGGTACTGAGGAATTGAGCCCTGGCCTTCTGCCACTAAGCCACATTCCCAGTCCTCTATGGTAGTTTCTATACCTACTGATACAGTCCCTATTTTATATATCAAAAACAAAAAAGCAAATAAAAACTGTTAGAATATGCTATATAGCCTGATACTTAATTTCCATATCTAACTCAAAGTTATAAAAACCCTAGCTAGGAGTAACTGATAAATATTTTAGAGACCTTCTACAGATAGTACATTTAAGAATTAAAGCATGTTGTAGGCTTTTTTCCCCCACCAGTCATGGGGCCTGAACTCTGGGCCTGGGTGCTGTTCCTCAGCTCTTCAGCTCAAGGCAAGCACTCTATCACTTGAGCCACAGCGCCATTTCCAGCTTTTTCTGCTTATGTGGTACTGAGGAATTGAACCCAGGGCCTCATGCATGCGAGGAAAGCACTCACTCTACCACTATGCCACTTTCCTAGCCCTGTTCTATGTGTTTAACAAATAATAGCACAAGAAAATTTTTTTTAACTTAACATCAAATATATATATGATCTATCTATATATATATATTATACACATTATATATATATATATATACACATATATACCAGATAGCCAAAATAAAAACTTGAGCAGATTTATTGTTCCCCTTAGGAACTGACATACAAATATAAGATTAAAATATGGTATGGTAACTATAGTAGAACACTGATCAAACTTAATACTAAGTAATGAAGAAAAATGCTTACCTAATTCAATACATGTTATTCCAAGAGACCATACATCAACTTTGCCATCATATTGTCCTTCATCCATGGCTAAAATTACTTCTGGAGCCATCCTAAGATACATAAGTTCATTTAAATTAATACTAATGAAAAAGTATATTATCGTTCAGAATGTAAGAATTGTCTATATGGAGAATATGGTTTGAATGTTAATATGTAAACAGAAGATTTTTATAATGGGAAATAACTACATTAAAATTTTAAGGTAAATATTTAGCAATATATATACTGTCTAAGATTCATTCTCATCATCTGTCATTATCATGTAACAGAATCCCAAAAGAATTCTAGAGCAGGGTTGTCTCAGGATTTCACTACAGACGTCTAAGGTTTGAGTGAAATACTGAATTTTTCCAGCTAGCAATAAATACTGTCAGCTCTTTTCCTTGATGCGACAACCTCATTTACTTTAATTTATTTAAGAAATATTTGCCATACTAACCAAAAAAGAAGAGCAATAGTTTGTGTGGCTCCCTATGCCAATTAAAAATGTTCGATGAGGGTCTGGGAAGGTGGCTCAGTGGTAGAGCGCTTGCCTTGCATGCTCGAGGTCCTGGGTTTGATTCCTCAGCACCACATAAGAAAAAAGAAAAAAGCCGGAAGTGGCACTGTGGCTCAAGTGGTAGAGCACTAGCCTTGAGCTGTAGAGCTGAGGGACAGCGCCCAGGCCCAGAGTTCAGGCCCCACGACTGGACCCCCCCCCAAAAAAAAAGTGTTCGATGATAAAAGTAGGTAGAACAGCTTACAATTCGATCACACAATTATCAATTTCATAAGTATCTTAGTTACAAAATAAAACACTAAAACACTAATTCTTTTCTAAAGCTAAGTTTAAAATTCTTCTTTTTTTTTTTTGGTTGGTCATGGGGCTTGAACTCTGGGCCTCAACACCGTCCCTCAGCTCTTCAGCTCAAGGCTAACACTCTACCACTTAAGCCACTGTGCCACTTCTGGTTTTCTGAGTGGTTTATTGGAGACAGGAATCTAATGGACTTTCCTGCCTAGGCTGGCTTTGAACCGTGATCCTCAGATCTCAGCCTCCTGGGTAGCTAGGATTGTAGGCATGAAGCCATTGGCACCCGGCTAAAATTCTTGACAGTACCTTACATTTGATATATATATTTTTTTTTTTTTTTGGCGGGGGGGTCCGGTCATGGGGCTTGAACTCTGGGCCTGGGCGCTGTCCCTCAGCTCTTCAGCTCAAGGCTAGCACTCTACCACTTGACCCACAGCACCACTTTCGGCTTTTTTTCTTTTTGCTTATGTGGTGCTGAGGAATAGAACCCAGGGCCTCATGCATGCAAGGCAAGCGCTCTAACACTGAGCCACCTTCCCAGCCCCTATATTTTATATTAAGTATAGATGAGCACATAAATGAGCTGTTTCACTAGGACTAGTGGCCAGTCCCAATTAACGTATGTTTCTAATTCTTGTGTTCCAAATACACTATATAGAAATTAACAAGTATGTCAATAAATCATTTCCAATTGTCAATAATTGGGTGTTTCACAAATTTTCTTTAACGTATGAGTTAAGTTTAGGATATTACCAAGTTAATTAGTTAAAAATAGTTTTGTGGAGTCTTTTTATTGAAGGACTTTTCAGAGCCTTTAAATGTCTAATATTAATAATTACTTTGTTTTTTTTTTTTTTTGGGTCTGGTCGTGGGGCCTGAGCTCTGGGCCTGGGCACTGTCCCTCAGCTCTTCAGCTCAAGGCTAGCGCTCTACCACTTGAGCCACAGCGCCACTTCCAGCTTTTTTCTTTTTGCTTATGTGGTACTGAGGAATCAAACCCAGGGCTTCATGCATGCAAGGCAAGCACTCTACCACTGAGCCACCTTCCCAGCCCCTAATATTAATAATTTCTAAAGGGGAGAATCATTAAACTTTATTCTCTTATAGAATTCATTTTCAGGTTTTTCCAGTTATTCATACTCCTATGTCAGTCCTTAGTTGTTGGATTCTGTGTACAATTGGACTAAAAGAGTGATGGCCCTGCTAGGATGAAACCTTTTGATTGTTGATGAAATTGAATCATGAAACTAAGCACTAAAGAATAGAACACAGGTCCATGAAACAATTATAGATAGATGTTCAGAAAATAACTCTGATGGACAAAGAACCTATATAGCTAGAAACATCAAGTATTTGAACAAATAACATTTGATATTTTATTCTACCAGACAGCTTACCTCTGGATACATTACATTACTTGTGTATGTTAAACTTAAGGTGAAATCTAAGGAAAGAGGGGCTGTTGCAGAAATAGAGGAAAAGGATGTGGCTGTGGCAGAGAAGAGGGGGTTCTAGGCCATAATGACTCTCAAGATAATTGTTTCATTGCTAGGTACTGGTGGCTCATGCCTATAATCCTAGCTACTCAGAAGTCTGAGATCAGAGGATCATGGTTTGAAGTCAGCCCAGGCAGGAAAGTCTGTGGGACTCCTGTCTCCAACTAGCCATTCAAGCTAGAAGTGGCACTGTGACTCAAATGATAGAGTGCTAGCCTTTGGCAAAAGGAGCTCATAGTCAGTGCCAAAGCCCTGAGTTCAAGCTCTAGGACTGCCACTCCCCACAAAAAGAAAACTGTCTCAAAGTGGTAAGGCATTTGGTATTTTTTTCATATAAGGTTTGTCATTTTTTTGATACACAAATGAGAGGAAAAAAAAAACCTCATTTTTATAGCCAGGAGATAGATTTTATATGCATGCATCATATAGAAAGAGAAAGACACAGACACAAAGGTTCTGTACAAAAATGTTTGGTCATGGGCTGGGGAGGTGGCTCAGTGGTAGAGCGCTTGCTTTGCATGCCTGAGGCCCTGGGTTCGATTCCTTAGCACCACATAAGCAAAAAGAAAAAAAAAGCCGGAAGTGGCACTGTGGCAAGTGGTAGAGCGCTAGTCTTGAGCTTAAGAGCTGAGGGACAGCGCCCAGGCCCAGAATTCAGGCCCCACGACCGGACGCAAAAAAAAAAAAAAAAAAAAAAAATGTTTGGTCATTTATAGTGGTGGTTTTCAGGTTTGTTGATTCATTTAATTCCTAGAATAAAAGCTTTTTATCTTCTTGTACACTTTATCTATATAGTTGCAAAATATTTATATCATATATATTATTTATTGTATGTATGTTTTAATGATACTCAAAACTGGAAGCTTTAGAACTGGTTCATTCAATTTATTAAAAACAGTACCACATTATTTAATTAGTAAAATTAATCTTCAGGTCCTACTGATCAGACAAACAGGAATAGTCTGTCACTTTCTGTCAGAAAAAGTCTGACTTCATTTCTCAATGCAAATAAAACATGTTAAACATGTCCTTACAACAATTGTCTCAAGGCTAAATTCTGCACTGGTTGAGGTAGAAGGAAAAAGAATGGAGAGATGGAGTTATTGAAACATTTTTTTAAAATGGACTAAAATTAAAATGAAAAGAGTAAAATAACAAAGAAGACAGTATCTTGACATGAGATTATGCCCTGATGGTTCTCAAATTGTGTCTCGATTTTATATCCCCGAGCAACACACCATTATAATATTTCGAATGGGTAAGCCTTTCTTTTATAAAGTAGAAGGAAAATTTCAAAGATCGGCAGGAAAGAAGATGTAGTGGACCTAAGTCATCACTCTCTGAATTTATAAAGAGAGTACATATGGAAGTTACATATCTGAAAAATTACTCTTCTAAATTTTGCTGACATACATATGAAGTTATTTACAGATGAACTTAGATGATGTCTAGGATTTCCTTCCAAATAATTTATTCTTGAAATAACACTGAAAAGAGATGTAACTCCTCTGTAAGGTATTTTCACAATTAAAAGAAAAAAAAAGAAATAATACTGAAAAGTCAAAATGAAACAGAAAAACAAAAAACCCTCCAAACCAGCAAGTCATTTTTAAGTACTCTCAATGTTAAAATCAGTGACACACAATAAATTAAATTTAAAGAAAACATACTCATGTAACTGTAACCCCTCCTCTGTACAGTATTCTCACAATAAAAAACTTATTAAAAAAAATCATACAAATCACTACTTAGCATGTTTATCTTGTTCTTCACTTGAATGTGATTTTTTTTGACTCTCATATCCAATGAAATTAAGATAGCAATAGGAAAGCAAAGAAAGAATAAAGGGAAAAGGACAAGAAAAAAACAGAAGATGTAAAGGAGACATAAAATGTCCAAAATGGCAACAATACAACATTTGGAAAAACAACTGTAATCACACATTTCCTATTTCAGTTATGAGGATCAATATCAGATAGGGCGCTTCTTACCAATATGGTGTTCCCACAAAAGAATTGGCAGGGGATGCCATGGAAGCAGATCCAAAATCAGCAAGTTTCACCTGGCCTGGTTCTGTCAGAAGGATATTTCCTGCTTTAATATCTCTGGATTTAAGAAACACAGAAAATTACTTATCTTCCCTTCACTAAACTATGTTCAAAATAATAAAAACTGATTAAGAATTTGTAAGGGAATAAAAATAATCAAGTGCTACAATAATTTCACAATTGTGAAAATGAATTCAGATAACAAAAAATGCCCAAGTCAAATAAATATAGAGTAAACATGTTATAAAAGAGAAGACAACTGTAAAAAAGACAAAAATCAGGTACTTAGGGAGGGCAGTTGAGGTGGGATTTTGAGAGGGGATGAGCCTGATGAAAGTACATGGTATGCAAATACAGACAATTCAAAAGGAATCCCCACCTTTGGACAACTGATAGTAACAAAAAGTGTGGGGGACAAAAAAAGAAATCAGATACTTACAAAATATGGTCTATATTTGAGTTTCTATCAATACAAACAATGGTTTTAATTGACTAAAAATCCCTGTACAACATGAAAAATTCCTAAGTATAATATTTAACTTAAAATTTTAAAAATGAGCCAGGCACTGGTACTCAAGCCTGTAATCCTAGCTACTCAGGTGGCTGAGATCTGAGGACTGCCATTCAAAGCAATTCCACTCAGGAAAGTCTGTGAGACTCTAATAAAACCACTGGAAAATCAGAAGTGGAGCAGTGGCTCAAGCAGTAGAGTGATCACCTTGGGCTGAAGAGCACAGGGACAGTGCCCAGGCCCAGAGTTCAAGCCCCACAACTGACAAAAAACAAAAAAAAATAAAAATTAAAAAAACGTTGATCAAAATGCACTGTACCCTTAAACGAGTTTTATACAGCTATGTAATGATAACAAAGATATATAGATATAGATATGTAATTTTTTTTTTCGCGTCCGGTCTTGGGGCCTGAACACTAGTCCTGGGTGCTGTCCCTCAGCTCTTCAGCTCAAGGCCAGCACTCTACCACTTGAGCCACAGCGCCACTTCCGGCTTTTTTCATTTTGCTTTATGTGGTACTGAGGAATCGAACCCAGGGCCTCAGGCATGCAAGGCAAGCACTTTACCACTGAGCCATCTTCCCAGCCCTATAATTTTTTTTTAAAGAAAGAGAAAAAAGGGTCAGGTGCCAGTGGCTCGCACCTATAATCCTAGTAATTTGGGAGACTGAGATTAGGAGAATGGTAATTTGAGGCCAGACTGGCAGAAGTTTGCAAGACCCTTCCTTCTCTACCAATACCTGGGCACAATAACATGTGCCCATCATCCTAGCTATAGTAGGATGTACAAAATAGGAAGATAAAGGTCCAAACATATATCCTAGCAGGAAGGGAGACTCTATTTCAAAAAATAACCGGTGCAACAAAGGGCTAGAAGCATTCTTCAGTAATAAAGTACCTGCCTAGAAAAACATGAGGCCTAAGTTTAAAACCCAAGTACTATCCAAAAAAAAAAGGAAAAATAAAAAGAACCCCCTCCTCAAAACTGAAAATTAGTATTCACATAATTTTCAAACATTTAGTATAGTTCTCCTAGATATCAAATAAAAACAGCAATATTTGAATAATCAATATTAATGATCCCCAATTTTTTTTAATCTTACCTTTGGAAATAATAAGCATACTGTTTATCCAGTCTAAGAAAATTTTGGTTATTTATATGAGATTGTATGTCCAATGGGGCTCTATATCACACACTTAACTTTATAAAAATTAAAAAAGAAAAACTACATTTCCTAGCACTTGATTTTTTTGGGGGGTCAGTCATGGAGCTTGGGCACTGTCCCTCAGCTCTTCAGCTCAAGGCAAGTGCTCTACCACTAGAGCCACAGCACCACTTCTGGTTTTCTGGTGGTTTATTGGAGATAAAAGTCTCATGGACTTTCCTGCCCAGGCTGGCTTTGAACCGTGATCCTCAGTTCTCAGCCTCCTGAGTAGCTAGGATTATAGGCGTGAGCCACGAGCGTCCAGTGAAGCATTTTATTTTTATTTTTATTTTTTTTATTGTGAAAATACTGTACAGAGGGGTTACAATTACATGGGCAAGATAATGAGTACATTTCTTATCAAGCATTGTAGCCTCCTCCTTTGTTTCCCTTCCCATCCAGCACTTGATTTTTAATATAGTACATATTAGTAACAAGTAGGTCTAATTTCTTTTCTTTTATTTTTTTTATAAATAGGAAGATATGTTTTTGTGTGTGCAGAGGAAGTACTTTGGATTCCAGAAAACCTTAGCTTCTAATTCCAATATTATCACTCCCTTATTTTCTAGTATGTGTATTTCCCTTGGACTTAACTAACCTCATCTAAAAATAAGTCATTAACTCAAAATGATTCTATTATGTAGTTTAATATGTACTTTCTCTAATACAATTTTTTTTCTTGTCAATTGTAGGACTTGAACTCAGGACCTGGGCACTGTCTCTGAGCTATTTTGCTCAAGGCTAGTTAGTGCTCTACCAGTTTGAGCCATAGCGCCACTTCTAGTTTTCTGGTGGTTAATTGGACATAAGAGTCTCATAGACTTTCATGCTTGGGCTGGCTTTGAACCATGATCTGAGGATCTCAGACTCCTGAGTAGCTAGGATTATAGGCATGAGCCTCAAGTGCTCGGTTCAGACTTTTTTTTTTGTCGGTCGTGAGGCTTGAACTTTGGGCCTGAGCGCTGTCCCTCAGCTCTTCAGCTCAAAGCTAGTACTCTACCACTTGAGCTACAGTGTCATTTCCAGTTTTCTCATGGTTTATTGGAGATAAGAGTTTCACGGACTTTCTTGCCCAGGCTGGCTTTGAACCATAATCTCAGAACTCAGCCTCCTGAGTAGCTAGAATTACAGGCTTGAGTCACTGGTGCCCGGCCATACACAATTTTTTTAAAAGCTAGTTTCTTTGTGAAACCCTAAATACCTAGTAATTGCTAAAAATTCATTACATATTGTTTAATTTAAAAGTTATTGTTCATTTATCAATTAGCTTGCTCAGCATACAATGTTCTTGCCCATGTTATGGAATGAATGGAACAAATCTAGCTAGTATTATCAGTCACCAAAAGACAAAAGATTGTTAGTTCTAGATCTAATTCATTTGGCTTTGCCATCATCAGGAAATTATAGCCATAAACTGAAGCATCTGGTATAATGAAAAAAACAAACTACATGATCCCTAATAGACCTTCTAGTCTGCAAATTAAATTTCTACTACAAATCCATGAAGTATGTATACTTTAGAAGACCAACTAGCATACATAGGTAAAAATAAAAATTATCCTAAACAAGACCAAGTGTACTCTTATGTTCTTCTTAATACATGAATAATCAATACAAGTTTATACTGGCTATTTAGCTAAAAACTACAAAAATGTCAAGGTCATTAAACTGTAAGGCTGATGAATTTAAAAAGCCAATATTTGTTTATCCAATATATAATGACTTTCAAAGCACTTACCTGTGGATCATAGTATGAGAATGTAAGTAGGCTAATCCCTGGAGAGCACCATGTGTAATTGCTGCTATTTCCACTTCTTGTAATGGCTTTTTGTGAACTTTAAAAATTTGAAAATTATTATTGAGGATATTTTGTTTAAAGAAACAAATATACATACCTGATATATAGGTATATTCTAAAAACTGACATTTAGCAAGAAGAAATTTATTTATGATAAAATGAAAGTACTAATATAATCTAATATATAATTGAGTCAGTTGTTAAAGTATAAGTCCCAGCCAATTGCTCTCTTAGTTAACATTATTAAACAACTAAATGTGATTATAAAACAAAAGTACAAAAGTTCTCCCTTTACTTTTCAGTTTGTAAGACAGATCAAATTAAATAACAAGATATCCAGAAAAATATTTATAGTAACAATGAGAAAACTTGACTGCACTGTAAGGATAATACAGACTATGCTAATAATCCAGAAATGATTCAAGTTTTTATACTTTCTGACAAGCTTTACATTTATTTAATATGAAGTGTTTAATCTCTAACATAATTATTTTATTTATTTTTTTCTGGTCCTACGCTTTGAACTCTGGGCCTGAGTACTGTCTCTAAACTCCTTTCACTCAAGGCTAGTACGCTACCACTTGAGCCATAGCACCACTCTGGCTTTTTCTGTAGTTAATTGGAGATAAAAGACTATGAAGTTAGGCAGGCTTTGAACCATAATCCTCAGATCTCAGCCTTCTGAGTGATTAGGATTACAGGCATGAGCCACTGGTGCCCAGTTATTGTTATTTTTAAAAAATAACAAAAGGAAACCTACCTTCTAATAAATCTGAAGCAGATCCCAGACAGTATTCCATTACGAGCTAGATGAGGAAAACATTATAAAAGCATTAAAGTGTTATTGTGATTTATTCCATTTGAGACAAAATTTACCTACAGTGAAATAGACAGTGTAAAATAAAATAAATTCTGGTCACCATTTATCTTAAAAGTATAGTTATACATTTAGCAATATGCTAAATGTATAAAATCAAGTCAAAGATACCTTTCTTTTAATAATGCCAATATGTAATCACTCCTATAAACTGCGTATTTCATATGTAATTACTAATTTAATTATAATATATAGAATGGATACTAATTTTTAATTTAAAATATATATCATTTTTAATCTATATAATTATGTATAATATATGCATGTATCTTTTTTCTTTTTGCTGTGAGAGGGTCTAAACTAAGAATATCAGGATTGCTAGGCAGGTTCTCCACCACTTGAGCCATGCTACCAATTTTTTTTTTTTTTTAATTATTTTATTTTTTTGGGTCCAGTCGTGGGGCCTGAACTCGGGCCTGGGCGCTGACCCTCAGCTCTTCAACTCAAGGCTAGCACTCTACCACTTGAGCCACAGCGCCACTTCCGGCTTTTTTCTTTTTGCTTATGTGGTGCTGAGGAATTGAACCCAGGGACTCATGCATGCAAGGCAAGCATTCTACAACTGAAAAGAGTTACTTTTTTTTTTTTTTTTTTCAGTCGTGGGGCTTGAACTCTGGGCCTGGGCACTGTCCCTCAGCTCTTCAGCTCAAGGCGAGTACTCTACCACTTGAGCCACAGTGCCTCTTCTCCACGCTACCAATTCTATATGCTGTTTCTATCAAACTATACTAACAAATTGATAACAGTTGTTAGAGTGTAAAAAGCTATGTTCTCTAGAATGGTGTGTACAAAGCTTATATAACACATTTTAAATGTTTCTGTCTTTTTTTTTTTTTTGGTTGGTCATGGGCCTGAATTCTGGGCTTGGGCGCTGTCCCTCAGCTCTTCAGCTCAAGGCTAGTGCTCTACCACTTGAGCCACTGTGCCATTTCCAGCTTTTTCTGCTTATGTGGTGCTGAGGAATTGAACCCAGGGCCTCATGCATGCAAGGCAAGCACTCTACCACTGAGCCACCTTCCCAGCCCTATCTTTTTTTTTTTAACTCACCATGTTGCATAGGCTAGTATGTAATTCTTGGGCTCAAGTAATTCTCCTGTCACAGCAGCAATAATGGTGAATCCATGTACACTGGGCCCTAAGCTTTAATTGTGCTTGTTCTTAAGACAGGGTCTTGCTATGTTGGCTAGGCTGATCCAAAATTCATGGTTAACTGATCCACCTGCTTGGCATGTACCACTACACACAATTCTAAATGTTTCTCTTAAAACATATATGGAGGACTGGCTTGGCACTGGTGGTTCATGCTTATAATCCTAGCTACTCAGTAGAATAAAATCTGAGGATGATAGTTTAAAGCTATGGAAAGTCCATGAGACTCTTGTTGCCACACAAACTGGAAATGGAGCCATGGCTCAAGTGGTAGAGCATCAGCCTTGAGTGAAAAAGCTGAAAAACAGCATCTAGGCTCTGTGCACAAGCCCAGTCCTGGCACCAAAAACAGACCATCACTTCTGTACCAGGTATTTTACACATACACCTTTTTTTTTTTTGGCTGTGGGTTTTGAACTCTGGGCCTGGGCACTGTCCCTCAGTTCTTCAGCTCAGGGCTAGTGCTCTAACACTTGAGCCACAGTGCCACTTCCGGCTTTTTCTGATATGTGGTGCTGAGGAATCGAACCCAGGGCCTCATGCATGCAAGGCAAGCACTCTACCACAAGCCACCTTTCCAGCCCCAGTTTAACCTTTATGAAGTAGGTCCTAATTATTCTTGTTTTACCGATGGAGAAACTTGAGAGACAGAATTAACCTACCTAAACATTAGTACTTTTTCTTTAACCACAGATTCAATTTTAGTAGTCACTAATCCCAAAGTTAAACTGAATAAAACCACACTAACATTACAAACCTAAATCTAAGCTGAGCATATCAAAATGATAGTTACTTGTCTTATTATTTTCAATGTAATGGAAATTTAATCTGACTTTAAACATATAAAGGGGGCTGGGAAGGTGGCACAGTGGTAAAATGCTTGCCTTACATGCATGAGGCCCTGGGTTCGATTCCTCAGTACCACATAAGCAAAAAAAAAAAAAAAAAAAGCCAGAAGTGGCGCTGTGGCTAAAGTGGTAGAGCGCTAGCCTTGAGCTGAAGAGCTGAGGGACAGTGCCCAGGCCCAGAGTTCAGGCCCCACGACTGGACCCTCCCCCTCCCAAAAAAAACAACATATATAGTTATTTTCATATACCATCAGAGAATTAGTACTGTATCACCTGCATGGGAACAGCACTATAAAATTAACCTCTGCTTCCTATCATAAAATGACTGAATTATCTGCCTTTTGCATTATTTAGCAAAGCAACCATGATGAGTTCAAAGTTAATAGGACATACACAAACTTGACCAAGATCCTTCTGGTTAAAAGCATCATCATTGTACTACACTTATATCAGGAAGACATGATAATTTTCATTCAGAAATAACAATATTGTTTTCACACTATTTATATGGTACCACTGAAGGTGGTACCATATAATTACACATGTAAAAAATTACATGTGTAATTTTTTTATGTAAAGGTGATGTACAGAAGGGTTACAGTTATATAGTCAGGTAATGAGTTCATTTCTTTTTGAACAGCATCACCTCTCCCTCATTTTCTCCCAGTTTTTCCCTCCCAACCGTCCTCCTGCTAAGGTATACATGTATAAACTTTGGAGAGTATCTGTAGAATAGAACTTGAAAAAGTTCTAATCTCTTGTCTGCAAGTGCTAGGAAATACTGCTCTTCCTCTTCCAGGATAAATTAATATTTGAGGTGCCTTTACATAACCAGTTTGAGCATTTTGAATTAAATCACTTTAAACCAAAACTAGCTAATATTAGGAGAAACAGCAAATACCAACCCATGCTGTGTGTTCACGTAAATAGCAGCCTTTGTATTCTATACTGTTAGGATGTTTTATTCTTTGTAGAAACTTGACTTCCTTAATAATATCCTGCCATTTCTGTAGGGAGAAAAAAAGGAATGGAAAGAATTATTAATAGCTGGTTTCCTGAAAAGTTATAGATAAAAAAAGTCATTACTGAGTTTAGAAGAATTAACAACACACAACCTTCCTTTATTTTTAATTTCTAGATGAATGGTCAAAATTAAGTTTAAATAATATATTCAGCTTACAATTAAACTATATAATTTACCAAACTCATTTAAGGTAGGATAAATAAATTTCAATTTGATAAAATTTATGAGACTTACTATGAATTTTTACAATTACATACCATCAAGCATGTTGATGGCTAGTATATGTCCTATTTCATGACTTTTCTTCAAAAGAACATTTTTTTTGTCAGTCATGGGGCTTGAACTCTGGGCTTGGACGCTGTCCCTGCACTCTTCAGCTCAAGGCAAGTGTTCTACCGCTTGAGCCACAGCGCCACTTTCACTTTTCTAGTGGTTTACTGGAGATAAGAATATCAGGGACTTTCCTGCCTGGGCTGGCTTTGAACCACAATCCTCAGATCTCAGCCTCCTGAGTAGCTAGGATTACAGGTGTGAGCCACTGGCGCCCAGCTTCTTTTTTTAATTTATAGGCTTATTGACACAAAAAATTTGTACACCACAAGTTTTACCTATTATGTTTTTGGTTTATTCTTTTACCCATGTTAAAGTTGGTCTTTTATTATTTTTTAAACAGCTCTATTTCCTTATTTTACTAGTTTCTATGTAGGAACTTGATAATCTTTCAATAACTACAGGAGATGTTTTCCCCTGTGCAGATGGAGAAACTGAGGCATTATTAGGTTTGACTTGGAAACTCTGTGTGCAATTCATTATATCACTGAATTTGTTTTTGTTTTTTTTTTTTGGGGGGGGGTCTGGTTGTGGGGCCTGAACTCTGGGCCTGGGCGTTGTCCCTCAGCTCTTCAGTTCAAGGCTAGCACTCTACCACTTGAGCCACAGTGCCACTTCTGGATTTTTTTCTTTTTGCTTATGTATTGCTGAGGAATCAAACTCAGGGCCTCAGGCATGCAAGGCAAGCGCTCTACCACTGAGCCACCTCCCCAGCCCTATATCACTGAATTTGTGTATTATATGTGCTGCAAACTAATTCAAGTAGTTTCCTTTATTTAATCATATTTTGGATAATAAGAATATCTCAGTATTCTCATCTACGTGATCTTTAGGTCACAAGTCCTTATTGATATATCATCAGAGGATAGATGAGAGTTTCCATGCAAAGTATTGGGTCCTTGAAATCAAACCACATAAAGAGCCTCACAAGGTGTAAGAATTTTTGTGAGGATTTATTGTAGTATATTATGGCCAAAATAAGGGAGAAATAGAAAGAGAAACACTTCTTGTTCCCCATTCAAGAAATGTGAGTTAAAAGACTCCTGTTTCTATTTTTAATTCAAATGAAATTAATTACTCTCAAAATTAAGTTCCTAACACTAGTAGAGTAACTGATTACTGTATAGAAGTTGGAGAAAAAAGAAGCCTAAAGAAAAGACTTTTTACATATTTTGATATAAAAGCCTTCTTCACTAATACCTTCTAGGAAATACAAATAAATCTTTGGCCTTAAGCTACTTTATGACAACCCAAACATTTAAAAGGTTGCATCCTAAATATAAGAAGCAACCAGGTATTCAAAAAATACAGGTATGGGGCTGGGAAGGTGGCTCAGTGGTAAAGTGCTTGCCTTGCAGGCATGAAGCCCTGGGTTCGATGCCTCAGCACCACATAAGCAAACAGAAAAAAGCTGGAAGTGGCTCTGTGGCTCAAGTGGTAGAGCACTAGCCTTGAGCTGAAGAGCTGAGGGACAGTGCCCAGGCCCAGAGTTCAGGCCTCACGACCGGACCCTCCCCTCCCCCCAAAAAATGCAGGTATATGAGTCTACATCCAGAAATTCTATAGGTTTAATAGATGTTCAGTGAGGACTAGGAATCAGTATTTGTTTGTTTTTGTCGGTCATAGGGTCAATCAGTTTTTGTTTTTTTTGTCGGTCATAGGGTCTGAACTCTGGGCATAGGCACTGTCCCTCAGCTCTTCAGCTCAAGGCTACCATTCTACCATTTGAGCCATAGTGCCACTTGAAACTTTTTCTGCTTCTGTGGTGCTGAGGAATGGTATCCAGGGCCTCATGCGAGGCAAGCACTCTACCACTGAGCCACTTTCCCAGCCCAGGAATCGGTCTTCTTGTTTTTATCTTTTTAAGCTTTACCACTGACTTGGCCTATGTAATAACAGCAGGGGAAGTAATAGAGAACTTAAATGTTTTGTAATCATATACCTCTGGTGTTATTACACAAAACCAAATGAAATAAAATATGTTCCTAAACAGGAAAAGATGGAAGTAGCACTGTGGCTCAAGTGGTAGAGCACTAGCCTTGAGCTGAAGAGTTGAGGGATAGTACCTAGGCCCAGAGTTCAAGCCCCATGACCAACAAAAAATAAATACATAATCCTAGCTACTCGGGAGGCTGAGATCTGAGGATCGCGGTTCAAAGCCAGCCCGGGCAGGAGAGACCGTGAGACTCCGATCTCCAATAAACCACCAGAAAACCGGAAGTGGCGCTGTAGCTCAAGTGGTAGAGCACTAGCCTTGAGCTGAAGAGCTGAGGGACAGCGCCCAGGCCCAGAGTTCAAGCCCCACAGCCGACCAAAAAAAAAAATAAATACATAAAGTAAAACGTGTAAGGTTTATTATAAAATGATAAATTCAAAGGCAGGTGCCAGTGGCTCACACATGTAATGTTAGCTATCAGGAGGCTGAGCTCTCAGGATCACGGTTCCAAGGTAGCCTGAGCAGATAAGTTCATGATACTCTTCACTCAAATTAACCTCTAAAAAGCCAAAAGTGAAACCAAGGCTCAAATGGCAGAGCATCAAGTTTGAGCAAAAGAGCTAAGAGTCAGCATGCCCTGACCCTGAGTTTAAATCGCAGTACCAGCACACCTACAGAAAAGTAAACTTTTGTTTTAATGGGTAAAGACTGTCAAGAGGTCTAGGGCATAGCTCAAGTGGAAGAGGCACTTGCCTATCACATGCAAGGCTTTGGGTTGATTCCCTGTATCACAACATCAAAATTTTAAAAAGTTTAAAAAACAACTGTCAGACTCCTACATTTAAAAAGTAGATTACAAACCGGGCGCCCGTGGCTCATGCTTGTAATCCTAGCTACTCTGGAGGCTGAGATCTGAGGATCATGGGTGAAAAGCCAGCCTGAGCAGGAAAGGCTGTGAGACTCTTATTTCCAATAAACCACCAGAAAATCGGAAGTGGCACTGTAGCTTAAGTGGTAGAGCACCAGTCTTGAGCTGAAGAGGTAAGGGACAGTGCTAAGGGCCAGAGTTCAAGCCCCATGACCAACCAAAAAAAAAAAAAAAGTAGATTACAGCCAAGCACCAATGCCTCAAGCCTGTAATCCTAGCAACTCAGAAGGTTGAGATCTGAGAATATGGTTAGAAGTCAGTCTGGACACAAAAGTCCACAAGACTCCTATCTCCAATTAACCACCAAAAAAGCTAGAAGTATAGCTATGGCTCAAGAGGTAGAGCTCTAGCAACAAAGATAGTAACACTGATATTGATGCTATTTTAAAGACAGATGCATAGCCAAGCAAGGGTGGTTTATGCTTGTAATCCCAGCTACTCAGGAGTCTGAGACCTGAGAATATTATGTGAAAGCCAGTTTAGGCAGGAAAGCCCATGTGGCTCTAATATCTCCAATTAACTACCAAAAAGCTGTGGCTCACCCAAGTGCTAGCTTTGAGCAAAGAAGACAGGGACAGAGCTCAGGCCCTGAATTCTCTCTCTCTCTCATACACTCATAGACATACACACACACACACACACACACACACACACACACACACACACACACAAATACACACACGATAGATGCAACCTAGCTTAATAGTGTAATGCTGCAAATTTTTCTCCATTAACAGAAATACAAGATGTATGTGCAAAAGCTAAATGGCTTAACATCACACTATATTACGGAGTCCATACACATCAGTGAGCAGGTATAGCGTGCTTATTTATATAATACATTTTTTTGGGGAAAACTAGTGGTGAAAGTCTTTCAGTCACATTTATATGATTATAAAGATTTGATTTTGTTCATTCTTCAAAAAATAAATTTATGTAATTAAATAATATATTCTAAAAAATCATATTAGTGAATTATTACTTCATCATCTTCTTTTTCTAACTGTTACACATTGCTTGTTGATTAGTTTAAGACAATTACTACCCAGTATCCTTTAGAAGATTATACCCGACTAATTTACTACCAAGTACATTTTATTCTACAGTTCTTACAAACTGACCATCCTTCTAAGATAATATATTAGACTACAATTTTAAAAACTGGCAGCAGGGGATCCAAGTTGGGAGGCTTTGGAGAAGCCACTAATACTTGGTTTATCGCTCTAGGCAGCAGTTAAATGGGTACCATTAGTTAGTAAAAAAAATTCATTGATAAACATATAATTTATACACTTTTAAAATGTGCATGACAGATTTAAAAAATCCTATTTCTCTTGAATTAAAAATAGTATGTCCTTTTAAAATGCCAAAAAGAATGTAAATAACCTACCTCGGTAGACTGCTTTCCACTATAGGACATCTTCTTGATAGCCACCACTTCATTAGTGCGCACATCTCTTGCCTAAAAAAGAACAAAGGACTACTGTAAAAACCAATACATTATATTTGAGAAATCACTTAAGAATAAAGATGTTTGTATACTACCAGGCCAAAAATCACAACAAAACTGCCTTTAGAGATGGAAGCATGGCTAAAATTGATAGAGGACATGATCAGCAATCAAAAGGAAGAACATTTTTTAAAAAACGAAAAAAACAAAAACAAAAACAAAAAAACCTGACTAGGACTGATCTGCCTAGGCTGGCTTCAAACTGCAGCCCTTAGATTTCAGCCTCCTGAGTAACTAGGATTAGACATGAGCCACCAAAGCCTAGCTGTAAGAACCTTTTATATATTTTGGCTAGAAGTCTATTTCTTTAAAGTTCAAAGCAAATATTAAGACAAAAATTATGACATAGTAACTATGATACATTTATATTTCCATATAATATATAATAGCATAAAATATAGTTAATAATTTCTAAATTTTATTTGTTGTGATATAAGTATTACCAAATGTACTAGGGAAAAATATGATATTCTTCTGGTAAGGTAATAATGTCTAACAAGTTATTTTGTAAAGAAAGTATTTAAATAAAAAAATACTGTGTATGTAAGAATCAAACTATGGACAGCTAAAGAGAAACATAGCATTACCCATCTTCTCTTTTTACCATAAGAGAAAATGAGACACAGGATCACAGTTTAAAGTCAGTCCAGACAAAAAAGCCTAGAAGACTATCTCCAAAATAACCAGCAAAAAAACTGGGCTGGAGGCATGTGGTAGAGCACTAGCAAAACAAGTAAGCCCAAGTCCCTGAGTTCAAATCCTAAGACTGGAAAAAAAAAATCTATAACTTAACATATTGAATTGAAATCCCTTGGTACAACTACTTAAAGATTAAAAACAATTATCTCAATTCACTGTCAATTAAGTACATGTAAATAACCACTAGGCTAATGTGAACAACACTGTCATTTTTGCAACTGAAAATACATATATCCCATAAAAAAGTATAATAGAAACCAAGACCTGCCTCCCACAATTTTTATAAAGAAAACAAAAATTATGTTAGGATCTTATATAGTCTACTGCATTTATAGGTTCTCAAATCAGTGTTTTGCTTTTTTCAACTTTCTTATTTCATGTATCATATTGGTTCTATTTAAGATATTGGAAATTAAGAGAAAATTTTATCTTCCTTGAAATCTGGAGTGATATCCAACTCTCTGGTTGTGTTTCAAATACTATGATGCCAGTCTTTGATTAGCTTGGATGAGGAGACAGCCATGCTTTCGGAGTTGGATTTTTGTTGTAATTCTTATTTTTTTGGCCAGTACTGACATATGATCTCAGGGCCTTGAGCTTGTATGGCTTACTTGCCAAACCTTTTTTTAAGTGTTCTTCAGAATTGACTCAAATTTGAACTCTAAAATGTATACTCACTTTTTTCAGTAACTGCCACTAAACTGAGCTTTCAGAATTCCTCTCTAAATTATCACAAAAGCATCTTAACCTACTCTCCATTCTTTTACCTCTAATACATGCCCATTTTTCCATTACATTGCTCCAAGAATCATTTTATGTCTCACAAGTTAAAATCAGTATTTTTATTATATTGCAGTGGCTTCTTCCAAACTTCAGAATAAAACTCGCTTTTGGGAGGGGGAGGGGCAGGGGAATGGTCCTGGGGCTTGAAGTCTGAGCCTGAGCACTCCCTGAGCTTTTATGCTCAAAAGTAATGCTCTACCTCTTGAGCCACAGCTCCATATCTGGTTTTTTTGTCGTTAACTGGAGATAAGAGTCTCACAGACTTTTCTGCCTGGGCTGGCTTTGAACCATGCCCTTCAGATCTTAACCTCTTAAGTAGCTAGGATTACAGGTATGAGCCACCAGTGCTGGCTAAAACCCACATTTCTTCTTGTAGCATAGACAGTCCTTCAATGATCTTTGCTGTCTACCTTCTTTGTTTCATCACCACAAGTTTACTTCCCAATGCAAACTTTGATTCCAGACATATCCCTTCAGATCAGTTTCATCAACTAACTGGCAAAGGTCTAGATTTAGAATAAATCTATACTTCTATTTTAAAATTTTTAATTCACTGACTTGAAACTCCTTTGTACAACTACTAGAAGAAAAACCAGTAGTACATATAAAGTAATTACTTGAAATTTTTAGAGATCAACAAATGCAGGCAAGATTTAGAGATTAAAAGTTAAGAGAACAATCAAATAAAATTTTAAAAAAGAACTCCAAATTTGTCTCAGCTTCACCTATGCAAAAAAAGAAAATCTAAATTCAAGGAGGGTTGGGCGCTAGTGGCTCACACCTGTAATCCTAGCTACCCAGGAGGCTGAGGTCTGAGGATTGCAGTTCAAAGCCAGCCTGCGCAGGAAAGTTCATGAGACCCTTATCTCCAGTTAACCAGCAGAAAACCGGAAATGGCACTTTGGCTCAAGCGGTAGAGTGCTCACCTTGAGCTCAAGAGCTGAGGGACAATGCTCAGGCCCAGAGTTCAAGCCCCACGACTGACATACATACATACATACATACATACATACATACATACATACATACATACATACATACATACATACATGGAGGAAGTCAGGCTACAATGAGAAAATCCAGAGTCAAGAGCTACCAAAGGATGGGTAGGAGAGATGGGTGACAATGTTGTCAGACACTTTGTACTCACACTGTTTTGTAGAATGGGAACATCTTTGCATGACTACTTAAAGATGATAATAAATAAATAAATAGAGCCACAAAAGTGTGGAACACAAAGGCACAATCTCCAAAGAGATAGATAAAAAGCAGTTTAAAAACTTACTGATTTCCCTCAAAAAAATTAACTCCCAAACAGCATCTAAATATGCCTGAATACTCAGCAGAAAATAGTAGTTGGAAGACTGATTCCAGAGAAGTAAAGCTTTCAGAAAATAAGAAATGCTAGACAGGTGGAAGCCAGAACTCAAACCCCACCAAAATGAATGAGCCTTGATAAATACTTGTGACATTATGTTTGAATTCCCAAAAGCCACACTTCAGTAATAAGGGTAAAAGTATACAGGCAAATCTATCATCAAACTAGACTAAAAGGGCCTAACATCATTTCATGATGAGTCATCAGTATATCATCTTACTGCTAAAAGTAAATGATTGGTTTTGAAGAAAAATAACAACATCCACAGTCTCAAAAACTCCCCTTTACTAGAATCCACACAGTATATTTGAATATATCAAGTTGATTGGAATACATTGTTTACATGTATAAAATTTCACAATGAAAACCCCTTGTACAATGTACACTAATATATTCTCCTTCACAATAAAGTATGTATTCAATCCAAACATATGAGGCACCTGCCCAGAATGTGAATTGTTCCATTGTCCAGTATTTCATTTACAACCTGGACAACACTGTACTGACCTTCAAGCTGCTCATCTCTATTCCTTATTATGATGACCTGTATTACCCCAACTTCAGCCACTCCCACTATTCACTCACTAGATGTCCTGACACAGGACTAAATAAACTTTACTACAAGCCTGGAAACTTTTTTTTTTTTTGGTTGGTCATGGGGCTTGAACTCGGCCTGGGTGCTGTCCCTCAGCTCTTCAGCTTTTCAGCTCAAGGTGAGCACTCTACCACTTGAGCCACAGCACCACTTCCGGTTTTCTGGTGGTTTATTGGAGATAAGAGTCCTTCAAACTTTCCTGCCCAGGACTGGCTTTGAACTGCAGTCCTTAGATCTCAGCCTCCTGAGTAGCTAGGATTACAGGCGTGAGCCACCAGCACCCAGCTTATTTTTATTATGTACATTCTTTCTTACATTTCTGAAGGATTTCCTTGACACTATGGAATACACAAACTGCTGCTCCTAACTAAAGTACATTGTAGCATAACTTTTCAAGCAGCTATCACATAACATCAAGAGGAGGACACATTGTTTCCCACTCCAAATATAGGGAAATTTATCTATAGTGACAAAGCTGTAGCCTAAAGCAGAAATAATCATCTAACAGGAATCAGACTGTTCCCCTCAAGTAATGACAGTTATAACAACCTCTCCAATAACAACTCAGAATCAGAACTGAGATAATAATCAACAAGAATATACTTTACTTGGGACTGATTACCTATGCTTACCTCTTCCCTCTACCCCAATTCTTCCCCCAATGTAAACCTAAAGCTCATGTGTATACCTTAAAGATGGGCTGAAGTGCATACTTTGCCTCTTCCTCAGCACACTCAAATCCAGCTAATAAATCTCTTTCCTGTGCCCTTCACCAATATTCACCTGTGTTTGGCAGAGTAGAACAAATAGCTAGACCAAACTTGCTGGAATCCGTGGCATACACCTCTAACCTAAAACTCAGGTTACAGGTCCATACTGTATTCTCTAGCCACCCAAAAGTCACATAACCACCACCTTGGTTATGAGCTGAACAATCAGGGTATAAGTGAGCTTGTGTTTTAATAATACTTAATTTACTTAATAACAGTATCAAAACACAAGAGCAATGGTGCTGGCAATTTGAATATGTCAAAAAGAAGCCCTAAGTATTTCCTTAGAATAAAAAATGTGACTTGGTAAATAGTTCTTCCAATATAAGGGAGGGGAAAACTATATGTTGACATTGCTAAACGCTACAATAAGAATAGAGCTTTTATTCATGAAGTTATAAAAACGGAAAATAGAATTTATGCTATATTCACAATCACACATCAAACTGAAAAAGGCACATGGAAAAGACATTAAATATAATGTTCAATGTTATCTTCAGTTTCAGATATCCATGAGGGAGAGAGTACCTTAGATTATCCTCTAAGGATGAGGGAGAGGTGTTGGGAGTTTTAATTTTTTCTCTTTTAATTCACAAGGTTCAATATTATTCTATTAATGTGCAAAAACACAGGAGTCATGCACAAAGCAGGAAAATGAAAAGGCCAGGTGCTTAAACTTTAACTAGCATTTTAAGAGACGGAAAGGCTTGAGGTTGCTGGGGATATTAACAGGAAGCTAAGGTATACTGTGGAGAGGAAAGTAGACAAAGATTGTGTTATGTAACAGTCCTGAGTACTAGTCATCTTTAGTCTGGGCCAAGTGTCAGAATCCCAGTCTTTTATTCCTGTGAATATTGCTTGCTTGATTGCCTTCTTGCTTTCTTTCTTTTTTTTTCTTTTCTTTTTTCTTCTTTTTGTTGGTCATGGGGCTTGAACTCTGGGCTTGGGCACTATCCCTGCGCTCTTCAGCTCAAGGCAAGCACTCTACCACTTGAACCACAGCACCACTTCCAGTTTTCTGGTGGCTAATTGGAGATAAGAGTCTCTCGGAGTTTTCTGCCCGGGCTCTGAACCATGATCCTCAGATCTCAGCCTCCTCAGTAGCTAGGATTACAGGTGTGAGCCACCAGCGCCTGGTGAATATTCTTTCTTAAGGGTTATCAGGAGTGGGGTGGGAGATGTTTTGCTAGGGATTAACCCAGAGTACCTATTAAGTAATTGTTCTACCACTGAGCTGACCCCCTCACCCACCAGACCATCCAAAAGAACAGCTTCTGCCAGTGGGCATTGTTTACTACTATGGCTGGATATAAATTTCTTTTCCAAAAAGGTTAGCTTTTCAGAATTATTCCTTTGCTTGTAATAATATTCCCCTATTATTTTCTCTAAATAACCAACTCAAAGTATGCAAATGACATATATTTAGAGTGGGATACTTTCCTCTCCCCCAACTCTTATTTTTTGTTAAAACATTTGGTGCTTTATCCTTGGCTCCGGAACTGCTATACAAGAATAAAGATGAAAAACAGCCTTTGTTATTTATAACAAGCCCCTTCAGCTACTAGGGCTTGCCTTAATGAGATGGTTTTTGGAAAGTCCCTCGATAGCCACAGAATGGTAGGGCTGTTTCTCAGGGGAGGCAACTAATGTGCTCAGCAGTGAAGGGAAAGAGGCTGAAGAGAGAGTTAATCACCAATAGCCAATAATTCAATCAATCACTGTAATGAAAATAGCACAATAATCCAAAAGGACTGAGTTCAGGGGCTCCCAGGAAGGTGAATAAGAATACATCCAGGTGCTGGTAGTTCACACCTGTAATCCTAGCTACTCAGGAGGCTGATATCTGAGGATCAAGGTTCAAAGCCAGTCCAGACAGGAAAGTCCATGAGAATCACCTCCAATTAATCACCAGAAAACCAGAAGTGGAGCTGTGGCTCAAAGTGCCCAGGCCCTGAGTTCAAGCCCCATGACCAACCAAAACAAAGACAAACAAACAACAAAAACAAACCAAAAAGCCCAACCACATGCTAAAAGAAAGCTATTGCCTTAATTCCTAGGAGTCAGAAGCTCCTGTACTGAGCAAGGTTTCAGACTATATTCTCTGGATCTCCATCTGTGTGAAGAAATATATTTGTATTCTTTGCAAAAGTGACTTCTTATATGATGTACTAATTGGTGCACATCTAATGTAAGAAACATGTTGTCAGGAGATATTGTAGGAGTCTTTTACTTGGTAAACTGTGTGTGTGTGTGTGTGTGTGTGTGCGCGTGTGTGTGTGTGCGCGCGCGCGTGTGTGTGTGTGTGTGTGTGTGTGTGTGTGTGTGTTTTTATTTTTTTAAATCAATCGGGGGCTTGAACTCAGGGCCTGGGCACTGTCCTGGAGCTCTTTTTACTCAAGGCTAGCACTCCACCACTTGAGCCACAGTGCCACTTCTGGCATTTTGTTAATGTGGTACTAAGGAATTGAACCCAGGGCTTCATTCGTGGTAGGCAAGCACTCTACCACAAAGCCACAAAGCCACATTCAATCAAACCTTTAACACTTACAAAATACACTGCTCCAAAGCTTCCATGGCCAATTTCTCTGAGATCTGTGAAAAGTTTTTCTGGATCTTCTTTGAAGAAGAGCTCTGCAATTTCAGGGTCCTTTAGACTGCCAGCTCTGTTAGTTGATGGCATCCTGCTGGGCAGTCAGCTGTCTGATTCTAATTTTATACTGCTATCCCAATCCTTGGTTCATCTGTATGAATGAAGCCACGTTGGCATATACTACTGTAGAGAAATAAGAAAAGAAAAAGGTCAGGAAACTAAAAGCTATTAAGAATAATTAGTGTAAGATCATTTACTGACAGCATTCACAAAATCAAGTTAGGTCTAGAATTTCACTAAAACACACTGAGCTAGAAGACTGTGGTTCACCCTTGCAATCCTAGCTACTCAGGAGGCTGAGATCTGAGGATCATGGTTCAAAGCCAGCCCACGCAGGAAAGTCCATGAGACTCTTATCTCTAACACACACACACACACACACACACACACACACACGCACGCACGCACGCACACACGCGCGCGCACATGCGCGCGCGCACACATGCATGGCAAGTAAGTGCATGTGCACCAGAAGTGGAACTATGACTCAAGTGGTAGAGTGCTAGCCTGGAGAACACGAGCTCTCAAACAGCAACCATGCCTTGAGTTAAAAACAAACAAACAAATCCAGAGTGGTCTACTATTGCATAAGTTCCTACCTCATCACAATCACCTGTGGCACTTTAAAATTAAAACAACAAACAAAAAAAATCTTCTATACTTTAGTGTGGTGGTGGTGAAAGACTGTTATCTTGAGCCACTCAGGAAGCAAAGATCAGAGGATCAAAGTTGAACAACATACTTTAGAACTGACTTAATTAAACCTCAAAGGGGATTAAAAGCTCCATCCAAAAAAAAAAAAAGGAACACACTACAGAATTCTATCAAGGTCTTCTCTTGATATTTACCATGTCATTACATTGTAATTGCAGCTTAACTGCTTCTAACTGAAAGTGAAAACTTCTCAACTCAGTTAAATGAATATGAAAATATGGAAATTTCTCTATATTCATCAAAGTTGGAAAAATAGTGCTACAAATAAAGTCTGACTCAGAAAATACATTTGCCACAAACATGTTTCTGATGGATCTCACTTTTGGTTTTAGCTTTTGACATCACAGAAAGTACATAAAACAGTTTGATATTACTTGTGGTTCAGATAACAACATAAAACAGTTTGATATTACTTGTGGTTCAGATAACACTGCAAATGACAACAAAACCTTTCAAATATAGCCATCATTTTGCATTATAACTTTAATATGAACACACAAAGATTATGAAGTCTGCATCAAAGATACCTGAAGACATTCAGTGTCCAACAATAAATTGTTATTCTTTTTCAGAATAATCTTAAATTTAAACTGAGTGCCAGTGACTCATGCCTGTAATCCTAGCTACTTAGGAGGATGAGACCAGCCCAGGCAGAAGAGTCTGAGAGACTACTTATCCAAACTAGAGATGAGGTATAAGTGGTAGAATGGCAGCTGTGAGGAAGAAAGCCAAGCAAGAACAACAGGCCCTGAGTAGCAGCACTAAAGTGTAACTTTTAGCTATAGACTTAAAAGTCACAACACAACTTTACCACTACTAAACCATCAGTCTGCTATGTGACAAGTGGCAGGAAAAGTGGTGAGAAAATAGTGATATTAAGTCCTTTATTGCTAGGGCACTGGTGGCTCATGCCTGTAATCCTAGCTACTCAGGAGGCTGAGATCTGAGGATCGCAGTTGAAAGCCAGCCCAGACAGAAAAGTCCAGGAGACTCTTTTTCAGTTTTTTTTTTTTTTTTTTGGTCCAGTCGTGGAGTCTGAACTCTAGACCTGGGCGCTGTCCCTCGGCTCTTCAGTTCAAGGCTAGCGCTCTACCACTTGAGCCATAGCGCCACTTCCAGCTTTTTTCTTTATGTGGTGCTGAGGAATCGAACCCAGGGCCTCATGCATGCAAGGCAAGCGCTCTACCACTGAGCCACCTTCCCAGCCCCGTCCAGGAGACGCTTATCTCCAATAAAACACCAGAAAACTGGAAGTGGTGCTGTGACTCAAGTAGCAGAGTGCCAGCCTTGAGCTTCTTTTGCTCAATGTTAGCACTCTACCACTTGAGCCACAGCGGGTATGTGGTAATGTATATGTGGTACTGACTAATCAAACCTTCATGCATGCTAGGCAAGCACTCCCAGTCCCACCCGTACTGTTTTTCTTACAAATATAACCATGCCTCAAAGAATTATAGAAAGCTAAAATCTATATAATAGAATTTGTATCATTAACTGTGTAGTAGAGGAAATGAGTTAAATATTGTATACTGAGTTGTTATAGATTATGAGTTCTATTATAACACTTACTTCAAAAATAGTTTTCCTATAATGAGAACTATACTTTTACTTATGCTCAATTTCATTTGAGAAACACTGGGTGAAAGCAGATAACTAGACCCAGCTATACCAAGTATATCAGGTATCTTTTCTTTTCTTTTTGTTGCTGTTGTATTGCCAATCCTGGGGCTTGAACTCAAGAGCCTGGGCACTGTCCCTGAGCCTCTCTGTGCTCAAGGCTAACACTCTACCACTTGAGCCACAGCGCCACTTACAGCCTTTTCTGTTTATGTGGTACTGAGGATTCAAACCCAAGGCTTCATGCATGGTAGGCAAGCACTCTACCTCTAAGCCACATTCCCAGCCTTTAGGTATATGCTCTTATCTTCTGCTTTTTTTTTTTGTTGTTGTTGTTTTAATGTTCTGATGATCAGGAAAAAAAACTGTTCTGCATAATTCTCAGAGATAGGCTGGGAAGGTGGTAGAGTGCTTGCCTCACATACATGAAGCCCTGAGTTCAATTCCTCAGCATCACATAAGCAAAAACAACCGGAAGTGGTGCTGTGGCTCTCAAGTGGTATGGCTCTAGCCTTGAAGTGAAGGACAGCGCCCAGGCCAAGACCAAAAAAAAAAAAAAAAGTCCTTGGAAGTGGCTCTGTGGCTCAAGTGGTAGAGCGCTCGCCTTGAGATGAAGAGCTGAGAGACAGCGCCCAGGCCCAGAGTTCAAACTCCACGACCGGAAAAAAAAAAAAAAAAAAGCAATAATTCTCAGAGATAACAAACAACTCACTTGTGAATGTGCTTTTTTCCTCCCTTCATTCACTTTTTAATTGTTACTATAAAGGTGATGTACAGAGTGGTTATAGTTACATAACTCAGATAAAGAGTACATCCCTTTTTGAAAAATGTCAACCCTTCCCTTGCTCTCTCCCAGTTTTTCTCTCCAGTCCCACCCACAAGTTGTACAGTTCATTTTGAACACAGGTCTAATGAGTATCACTGCTGTATTTGTTCACCATTTGTCACACCATTTCTGTGCATCCTCCCACCCCATCCTCTCAAAGGCAGACAAACAAACAAATAAGACAAAAGGGAAATAAAAACAGAAACAAAGCTAGGCACCAGTGGCTCACATCTGTAATCCTAGCTTCTCAGGAGGCTAAGATCTGAGGATCGTGGTTCAGAGACTGCTGAGGCAGGAAAGTCCATGTGACTTTTTTTTTTTTTTGGGGGGGGTCCGGTCGTGGGGCCTGAACTCTGGGCCTGGGCGCTGTCCCTCAGCTCTTCAGCTCAAGACTAGCACTCTACCACTTGAGCCACAGCGCCACTTCCGGCTTTTTTCTTTTTGCTTATGTGGTGCTGAGGAATCGAACCCAGGGCCTCGAGCATGCAAGACAAGCGCTCTACCACTGAGCCACCTTCCCAGCCCCTCCATGTGACTTTTATCTCCAAGAAACCAACAGAAAACTGGAAGTGGTGCTGTGGCTCAAGTGGTAGAGTACTGGCCTTGAGCTGAAGAGCTGAGGGACAGTAATCAGGCCCAGAGTTCAAGCCCCACAACTAACAAAAACAGACAAACAGAACAAAGAAAAAAAAAAAACATTTCCTGGAGTTCCTTGTGGACTGAACAGTCCATAATCACCACCTTCATCTAACTCTTACATATTAGGCCACTATTCCTCTGTCTTATTCACCACAGGCAAGGTAAGAGACACAGAACAGTGGTAGAATATGGCTGTTATCCCAGTTCTGCCATAAATTAGGAGAATTATGATTCAGGCCAGCTGGAGTAATAAATCAAACCCTAGAAAGCAAAAATGACAGGAGGCATGGCTCAAGTGGTCAAGCACCTGCCTAGCAAATATAAGGACCTAAGTTTAAAATCCAGTGTACCTCTCCCTCCCCCACCCCCACACAAAGCCGTAAAAAGAGCTGAGTTACAGTGTTAAGAGTAGGTAGAGAAGTGCTTTCTTAGCATGTGTAAAGCCTTTGGATTAAATACCTGACTCTTTTTTAAAAAAAAATCTGGCCGGGCACCGGTGGCTCATGCCTGTAATCCTAGCTACTCAGGAGGCTGAGATCTGAGAATCTCGGTTCAAAGCCAGCCCAGGCAGGAAAGAGCATGAGACTCCTATCTCCAATAAACCACTAGAAAACCGGAAGTGGCGCTATACCTCAAGTGGTAGAGCGCTCGCCTTGAGCTGAAGAGCTGAGGGACAGCGCCCAGCCCCAGAGTTCAAGCCCCATGACCGACAAAAAAAAAAAAAAAAATCTGCATTTTCTTTTCTTTCTTGGGGTGGGGGAAGGTGTAAGTAAAACAACTACTATCTATGAACTACCATATACGTAGACAGAGCTTTTCTACATAGTATAGGCTGGCCTGGAACTTACTTTTACAATTCCAGTTGATCCAGAACTCCAAGTACTTTTGTCTTAGCCTCCCAAGTGGTAGGAGTGTGGTAGGTTTGAGTGTGCCACTACATCCAGTTTGTAAGCTCTTAAAAGAATCATGGAAAACACACTGGTTTGCAGAAGTTTTCTAATTAGTAAAAAACCTTCTATTTATGAAAAGCTCATTTAGGTTCATCCTACATTTTAAGTTCCTAAAACTTAAGAAGTTTTTTGTAGGACTTTTTGGTAACAAAATCTCTCTATATACCCCGGATTGCCTGTGAATAAGCAATCCTCCTACCTCGACCCTCCACACTGTTAGGATTACAGGTATGTATCACCACGTCTGGTTAAACACTGATTTAATGTTCAACAGAAAACATTTCTACATGGATTTAATCAATTGTGTAGAAATAAAACCTTTCCACTATAGTTACAAGTAATTTTTAAAGTAATTACATAAAATATAAGACAATTTA